TGGGCCCCACGAAGACCATGGGAACAGAGCTCATGGAGAATTTGGGGTATAATCCTCACAGGTTTCCTCTCCCCTGCTGGGTATTAACCATCCCTGCCTGCTGGAGGGAGGCACCCGTCACCCAGGGGATTTTCAAATTTCCATCAGGAGGGGAAGGGAAGGATTTGTTTTACTCAAGGCACTCCAGCCCCTTCATGAGGTAACTTCTGTTTAGGATCTCAGAATCCCAGAATGGTTTGGGTTGGAAGGGACCTTAAAACTCATCTCAATTCCACCCCTGCCATGGGCAGGGACACCTTCCACTATCCCAGGTTGCTCCAAGCCCCATCCAGCCTGGCCTTGGACAATTCCAGGGATGGGGAAAATAATCCTGCCAGAGCCTTTGCCTTCCCAAACCCCACCCCCAAAGCAGCCACACACCTTCTCACCAGAGGCTGCCTCTCTCAGCTGCCTTTTCCCCACAATTTCAGAGTTTATGGCCAGCATTCCTCATTTTCCATGTCATTAATCTCCACATGCCCTGGCTCCAAGCAGGCAGCAAGCCAAACACTGCCAGACGGGTTCCAAGCGAAATCCAAGTTGTCTGGAAAAGAAGAAAATCCAGCTAAAAGTTGGGAAAGCACTTGAGCCTCAAATTGGCTCTCCCCAGCCACCCAGCAGGACAAGGGTGATGCTGCTCAGATGGGTTTGGTGGCAGCCAGGGCGTACTTTCCCATCCCACTTGACTTTTCCAGCAACCAGCCAAATGCAACATGTTCCTTTCAGCTCAGAGATTTATTTGTGCCCAAGGGGGAGGGAAAAAAACCCAACACCCAACACAAAGCAAAACTGGGAGCTTATTTTTTAGTTTCTTTAGAGAGATGTTGCTCTGAGAGTTGCTCCTGAGCATTCAGTCAATGCATTTTTCAGAGCGCTTTTGCTGTGAGTTCTCCTTTCCTCATCTTGGAAGTTGTTCTGCTGTGAATCTTCATCTCCCCAAAGTCCCAAAGCTGAGGATGACACAGTCAAAACCTCTTTCAGGGAAGGCAAGGGAGGAGAAGAAATCTGTCCTACAGAAGGACAAGGGGGAAGAGCAAAAACTCACCTGGAAGTCTCCAGAAATGCCTTTAATCCTTCTGCAGGTTGTCCACATGGTTCAATTCTGCTCAGGAGGACCAGAGAGTCCCAGAATGGGATTCTCTTCAGTCCCTCAGGGAAGGCTTAGGTTGGATATTAGGGAAAATTTCTTCCCTGAAAGGGAGGTCAGGCCCTGGCACAGCTTCCCGGGGCAGTGGTGGAGTCCCCATCCCTGGAGGGATTTAAAAGCCCTGTGGATGTGGCACCTGGGGACAGGGCTCAGTGGTGGGATTGGCAGTGCTGGGGGAATGGTTGGACTCTGTGCTGTGAGAGGGCTTTTCCAACCAAAGTGATTCCACGATAAACCCAAGGCTCCGAGTTTTCTGACTGAGGGGAGGCTGGGACCCGCCAAGTTCTGTCTTTCTGTGTCACTTCCCTGCCTCCAGACCAAATTCCAGCATGGCTGTGCACCAGGAAGGACTGGCTGAGCAGCCCAGCAGCACAGGCAGGTGAGCCAGGAACCTTGGGAACGAGGGGAGCCTCATCCATCTGCCTCCCAGAGTGGATTCCAGCCCTGATGGGATCTGCAGACACTTCCCTGCTTGGATTCCTCTTCCTTCCATCGCCCTCCAAGCCTCTCCACAGCAGGGCTGGGAAGCAGCCCTGGACACTCCAGCCCTGCCTCTCTTGCCTCACAAAGGGAACAGAGAGGAATTGTTTTGGAATAACAGTGGAAATCGAGTTTCCCATCGCAGATAAAGGGGAGAGAGGTCAAATATGAAAAGGCTTTAGATGAAAGAGGAATTAGCCTGTGGAATAACTCAGCCCCAGCCCCACTTTCAGCACTCCCAGGGCCCTGCCCAAGCCCAGCAGACGAACCCGGCCAAGGCAGTTTGTTATCCCCAGCACTGAGCTGCTTCACCAGCCACAGGCTGAGCAACCCCAGCCCCCTGAAAGGAGGGGAAGCATCCCAGCGAGCCAGGGGCCATCATCCATCAGCAATACCGGGGGAGCCGGGCAGCCCCAGTCAGCTTCCAGCCAGAACTGTGAGCAGCGCTCTGTGGTTCAGGTGTGCAGGTATTCCGCAGCTTCCTCCTCCTCCTCCTCCTCCTCCCCAGCTGCATCCCCCGGAGGTGGGGTGAGCACCTGGCTGTGGACATTCCCTAAAAGCAGCTGGGGGATGCAGCCCCTGCTCCCTTGGCTGGCCCAACACTCCCCGTCACATTCATACTTTCTGAAAAGTCCCTTTAACCGGGATTTTTCTCCTGGGAAGCTGAGAAGCCTCAGAGAAAAGGAAAACAATTCTTATCTCATTTGCTTCTCCTGTGTTTTGCTCCTTTGGAATGTGTTTGGAGATTGTTTACCCACAGGTGATTGTTTCATTGGATTCTGCTATGAGTTGTTTTCACTCAATGGCCAAACAGTGCCAGGCTGTGTCAGGACTCTGGAGAGAATCACGAGTTTTCATTGTTATCTTTTTAGCCTTCTGTAAGTATCCTTTCTGTATTCTTTAGCATAGTATAGTTTAGTATTCTTTAGTATAATGCAGTATGATAACATAATAAATTAGCCTTCTGAGAACATGGAGTCAGACTCATCATTCCTGCCTTCCTGCCACGAGGGTCCCCAAATACAACAGTCCCCAGCCTTGGCAGGGCTCGGGGTGGGCTCAGGATGCTCCCAGCGAGGTTCTCCCCATCTCTGCTCCAAGCTCCTTCCCTTCCAGAGAGAGCTCTCTCCCCATTTCCCAAAGCCCAAAGGATTTCATCCCTTTTGGTCCTGCTTTTCCTGCACAGGAGGATTTTGGAGCAGCCCTGAGGCCGCCCTGCCCAGGCTGGGGACCCTCAGCAGCGCCAGGACCTTCTCCAGGATAAACCGGCTCCTGGATAAACCGGCTCCAGGATAAATCGGCTCCAGGAATTCTCGCTGCTCACCAGCACTGAACCCAGCCGGCTCAAAGGCGGCTGCTGAGCCCGTGCTATCTGCATTATCCATGGGGATTGGGGAGAATTGCAGCAATTGCTCTCTGCTAGTGGGGAAGGAGGGATTTTTAGTTTTTTTTTTTTTCCCCCCCTTTCAAACTCCAACGTGTAATTGAAGAGTGAAATTCTGAAAACTTGCTCAAGGACACTTTAATCGCCTTTAAAGCCCAGGAATTGCTCCCCCTTCCCTTCCCAATTTAATGGGAAACAGGTTTCTTGTTCCTGCAGGCACTCTGAAGCTGTTGACCATTGGGTAATTGTGCCTTGCTACAGCACAAATGCACAATTCTGTCTGCACCCTCATCCTTCTAAATACAGTAAACCACCCCCCCCCCCCCCCCCCCTTTAATTGCACTGAATTTGGAGTCCCTGGTCATGGCAGGGGGCTGGAACAAGATGATCTCTCAAGTCCCTTTCTGTGACTCTGTGACTCTAAACCTTCCCTCCATGGGGCAGGGGAATGAATTAATAAAGAAATAGATGAAAAAGACTCAAAAGGGTCTGTAATAAATCAGATAAAGGGCACCTGTCTGTGGCTAATGCACACTGATGCTCTGGCTGTGTGATCCAATCTACACAGGAAATGTTTTCCCCATTTCTGCTATGCAGCAGTGAGATTTTGGGGTGGTTTTGTTTCAACCCCAAACATTTCCTTCTGCTACTGAACCATTTAACTTGCTGTAAACATGGGCAGAGGTTTGCTTTTCCCTCGTGGGCATCCAGAAGACACCTGGCCCCTCTCTGTGTCCCCCAGCCAGGAGTCCTTTCCCTCAATTAGGATGGGATTTGCTCCGTTCCTGCTGAAGCCTTCCATTAGCACAGCTGTGGGATGGGAGTATTTTCCCCAGCCTCAGCAGGAACTGACTTTGCCAGCTTGTGCTGCTGGAAAAAAGGCAGACTGTGCCTTCCCCACAGCCTGGGAAGCTGAGTTTTTTACCACAAGTTTTAAAATGTATTTCTGTTGCTCTGTGAGCAGCCTGGCTGAGGAGCCCTGGTTTTCCAGGTGCCTCCAGAGGTCCATACTTTCCAGGGCCCTGTGGCCATGAACCTTCTCCAGCCTTGGCCCACACTATTTTCCCCGTCATTTTCTCGATCCCAGGGCAGCTCTGCAGGTTGCACCAACACATCACACCCAGGCAGGAACAACAAATGAACTCTCAGGTGCCTGAGTGAGCTCCAGAGAATTCCCTAAGAGATCAACCCAGCCCTAGGAGAAAGTTTCTGCTCCACACAGATCCAAATCCCATCATAAATCCAGGATGTTTTGCTGGCACAGAATGAGCTCCTGCCCCCTGTGTGCTCAGGTTGTACATTTAACACTGGACCCTTTTCCTCCCCCTGCAGTGCTCCCACTGCCACAGGCATGCATCTAAAGCACAAAGCCTTGACTTGCTGCCCAGAGGCAGAAACAGCCTCTTCCTCCTTTAAACAAGTAAATTTAGAAAAACAAGTGAAATTAAGAAAATTAAACTCAGCGAGGGACCTGGGAACGGTGCGCCAGTGCCAAGCTGGGCACCCATTCCTCACACCCAGCCACGGGCACACGAGGGAATCACCTCAAAACCCTGTTGAATCCCATTCCTTGCAGCACAATGTCATTTTCTTTGGGATCAGCAGTAAAAATTCCCATGGCTAAAGCAGAAGGTAGCACAGCACTGAGCTCAACCCCCGCCCAGGTTTATGTCCCTGTGCCACGGTGAGCTCAGAGCACTGCAGGTGAGACGATGCCTGTATAGTTTAGAATTTATTTAGAATTTATATTTAGAATTTATTTAGAATTTATATTTAGAATTTATTTAGAATTTATATTTAGAATAGGCACTGGGGCTGGGATGGCATCTGAAACAGCCCCCACCCCTCTACACCTCTGCCCCAGCTGGGTCACCCAGAGTGGGATTTCACTCCCAGGAAGGAGCTCCTGGGAGCTGCCGGTGCCCTCCCAGCCAGGCCAGAACCCCCAGGTCATGGTCCTAGAGCAATCACCAACCCACTCTGCACACAAATACAGGGAGAGCTCAGAGCCCCTTGCAGGGCCTAAATGGCTCCAGGAGAGCTGGAGAGGGCCTGGGGACAAGGGATGGAGGGACAGGACACAGGGAATGGCTTCCACTGCCACAGCGCAGGGATGGATGGGATATTGGGAATTAGGAATTGTTCCCTGGCAGGGTGGGCAGGCCCTGGCACAGGGTGCCCAGAGCAGCTGTGGCTGCCCCTGGATCCCTGGCAGTGTCCAAGGCCAGGTTGGAGACTGGGGCTTGGAGCAGCCTGGGACAGTGGGAGGTACCCCTGGAATGGCAGGGGTGGGATGAGAAGGAACCTCCCAGATCCTTCCAACACAAACCACTCCATGATTCCAATGAATCAGGATGAAGCAGCAGGGGATGTTTCACTGCTGAGGGAATTGGGAGCATCCCAAGTTTTCCCTGGGAGCTCTCCCCATCCCTCCCACCAGGAGCCCTTAACTGAAGCGTGGCCTTCTCCCCTGTGACCACAGGACAATTCCAGGTGGCACACATGGAGCAGATGGATTTTGGATGGTTCAGGGGGCTCCAGAGACAAGCAGGAAGCCAATCAGAGGGACAACACGTATGAAAAAGGCCGTGAGAGGTATAAAGCTGGGGCTGCTTCACCTGGAAACTCAATTGGTTTTTTGCAGGCACTTGTCAACATGCACCTGGGAGCCACAAGGGAACTGGGAAAATCCAGGAGCTATTCCATGAACACCCCAACGTAGACATGGGTATATTTTGCCCAAAAAACCTCTCTGGCACCAAGACCCCCTTCCATGACACGTCAAGAGCCCAATAGATGAAACGCCCCATCCCAGCAAAGGAAGGAAAGAAGATCAGCAGCAGAAACCCGGGTGGTACTATAATTAACTTTTTTCTTTTATTTACACCACAAGAATAACAAGTTGTCATAATGTGGTACAAAATACTGGACTCCTAATAAAGTTGAAATTGAAGTCGGTACTGTCAGAGAAAGACACCATTGGCCAGTAAAAAAAAAAAAAAAAAAGAAAAAAGAAAAAAAAAAAACCAAAACCCCAAACAAAATAAAGAGAAAAGAAATAAAAATGAAATAAAAACAAAGAAAGAAAAAACAAGAATGAGAAAAATATTCCAACTCCACCAGTTTAAAAGAAAGGACCGTTGGAAAGTTGAGCACAAAGAATGCTACCATCACTGAAAGTAGGGTCCATACAAGAAGAGTGAAATTGTGTCTAAATTACAGCGTAAACCGGTAGCTGCTACCAATGGTGACGTCATACTGAGCATGTATAGGTATAAAGTAGAATATAATATTGTTACAACTTTTTGATACTACATATCTGTAATAAGCTCTCGGGTGAATAATGTTTCAACCCCTCCCCCCCCCTCCCCAGTTTGTCATCCTCATAAATTGGAAAATAGCGCCTCCACTATGGAGCACAGAAAAAGTGTTAATTTATTTTCTTTCAATAGGATACTTTTTTCTTTTTCATCATCAATATCAAAGACAAAGTGAAGATGAGCTGAGAACGAGCCCAACTTCATGACAATGAAGAAACACGTTTTGCCTTTTGCTGTAAAGTCTCGTTTTTAAACCACAGTGTTGCACAGTACACGACTGCTTAAAGTGAAACCGAGCAAAAATACATCATGTAAAAGTAATTTCTTAAAAAAGTTAACGCAGCTGTGCTGAAGAGTTAACTCTTTAAAGTCCTCCTCATCCATCCATCCATCCATCCGGCTCCTCGGAATGAATGACTCTGTGTGTTGACACAAGGGTTGCATCCAACCTCCCCACCCAGCCGAGAAATCAAAGCAAAAACACCAACCCAAAGGAAAATAATAATAATAACAATAATAATAATGACACAGGCAGTTTACTTGGTGTGTTCGGCGTAGTTTCCCTAAAAACACTGTTTCCACATAAATACAATAAACTCTATTATTGGTAAGTCACAAGTGCTAGATAAACGTCTTAGTTTTTTCTTTTCTTCTTAAAATGAGAAATGTTTAAGTAGTCCTTTTTGTTTTTTTTATTTATTTACTCTTTTTAACAATAAAAAGCACAATTTCTTCTTATTAAGTTCAGTAAGACTCCAAAAAAATAAAAAAAAGAATTCCCACTCTTCTTCCTTGGTGTGTAGCTGTGTGGGTGAGTGAGTGTGTGTGACAACAACATCCCAACCACTTTTAGTCTCCACAAATGCCACGAGAGGAAAAAAAAAACCAAAACAATATAAAACCAAACCAAAACAAAAACCAACCCAAAGAAACCCCAAACCCCCTCTTTTTTTTTTTTTTTTGTTGTTTTTGTTTTCTTTTTCTCATTATCGTTTTCAAAGCTGCCAAGTTTGGCGTGCAAAATCTGTATACAATATAAAGACATGCCAACCTTACAGACCATGCAACCTCAAGGTGTAGGAAACTTAAAAAAATATATTCATATATATTTATATATATATTTATATATATCAATGCCCGTAAAAGAACATGGGCCCAAAAAAGTTTACAAAAGGAAGAATGGAATGAGCACATGACCGTGACTAATAAAAAAAAGGAATGTTTTGTATCGAAAGTAAAAAAAAATCCCAACAAAAAAACAATCAACCAAACAAAAAAAAACACCAACCAAAAAACCCCCAATGGTTACTTGTGTACTGCAAACTGGGCCTCACTTCACTGTAAAGAGGATTGAAAGATGTTCCTTTTCTTCCCAAGCAGGTACAAAGGATGCCCTGGGCAGCACGTGCCGGGATGTGGGAGCATCCCGGGCTCCCACCGCACTGCCATGGCCGCCCCCGTGGCAAAGTCATCTGAAATGAAGAAGCTTAATGGCTCAAAAAGGTGAAAAATCCCCCTGGAGAGCCTCAAAACAAGGGCTCTCTCCTTTCTCTCCGTGCCTGCACTGGCCCTGGAAAGCATCCCCGGGGAAGAGCATCCCCAGGGACGGTCACAGCCCAGGGAAGAGTGTTCCCAGGGAAAAGGGGGATGCTGCGAAACAAATCCACATTGCCGGGAGTTTGGAGGAGATGAGCTCTGTCATCTCGGGAAAAATCTTCCCATCCCGGCAAAAAGCTGAGGGAAAGGATGGAAAGGAAGGAATGAAGGAAGGAAGGAAGGTGGCATCCCAACAAGCTCCTCTGGATTTTCCAAAGGAACCGGCTCAGCACAGTCAGCCGGCGGCTCCCAGGAGAGCAAAAAGGAAGGAAAAAGGATTGCCACAGCCGGGAGCAGAAATGTCAAAAACCTTCCGGGGAAGAGCTGACAGCACAAAGGGAGGTGTAAACACAGGCACTGCCCATGGCACAGGAAGCAAAACCTCACACCTGTCACCAAATTCGGCAGTCGGATGGATTTGAGATCACAGCAGCAGCGTGGTCAGATGGAAGAAAACCCAAACCACAACATCCCCGGGTACACAGTGCTCTTGCACGGGGGGAATTTTAGGATATGCCAAGGACAGGCCTTGCCACTGGAGCTTTTTGGGGTTTTAGGATGTACTTGGGTTTGCACAACTCAAATACTGTAGTGTCTGGTTCTGAAACTGCGCTAGAAATCGAGGAAGGAAACAAAAGCCTCCAGCGTGGGGTCATGCTCCCGATTCCTCCCACGAGTGAGTCCTGAACGGAACGAAAGCGGCTGCTTCGAAAACTGGAAAGAAGAGAAGTTACTGGAAGCAACCCCACCAGTCACCACGGGAAGAGGATAAATGAAGGAAGGGTGGTTAAGGAGAAGCTGTGCTGGGAAGAGGGATGTGCTGTCCTACACTGCTGGAGGAAGGCGCGCGGGGAGCGCCGTCTTCGTGAAGACACTCCGCTCTCCGTGACGGGGCTCGCGGCCTCTCCCACCCGGCATTCCCGGGAGGCAATGACCTCCTCGGGGTGGCGGGGGGCAAAAAAAATAAAGCCTCCAAAACCCCTCCCAGCATCAGGAAGAAGAAGAAGAAGAGGGGAGAAAAAGAGGGAGAGAGGAGCTGGGGAGTTTGCGGGCATGTCCGGCGGAGAGAAAACGCCGGCGGTCCCGGAGTATCCAAGGAGCCTTCCCGAGGGTAGGCAGCGCCAGGAGCCGCGGGCAGGACAAAGGCATTGCCCACTGAACACTACCAGGTAAGAAAATTCCTTATTTTCTTTACAGAGCTACTACAAGAGAGCTGAGGAAATATACAGTCGGCGGAATCGGTACAACAAAGGAGCCCATCGCGGTCCCTCATCCTCCTCCTCGGTAAAATGCGCCCTTTCCCGGAAAAAAACAACCTCTGTTGGTCTGCCCACAGTTCCTTACACCTGCAGAAAGCTGCTCACTGTACAAAAGAGTTGAGGAAAAGGAGAGAAAACAATACAGAGGAAAAAAAAAAGAAAAAAAAAGGAAAACCCATGTATTATAAGCAAGAAAAGAGGGAAGAAGAAAGGTTTAGATGCTACTGCCGTTCAGAAAGGAAACCTGCCAAATGGAAAAGAAATGTCAGAGTCACACAAACAAGGCTTCCGGAGGGTTTCGGGAAATATCCATATAAAAATTAACAGCAAATTCAGCGTCTTTGCTATAAAAAACTCTTTTTTTTTCTCATGTTTGTTAGAAAAGGATCACAACAAAAAACCTTAAATTAAAATACAAATGTTTAGGGTAGTTGCCCAGTGGCTAAAGTGTTGGCTTTCTGAAAAACTTCCCAACCTGTCGCCTGACAAGTCCTCGAGTTTCAACCTAGATCCTTTTCCAAAAGCACCTTTGACGTTCCAATTCCCAAATCTGTCCCTAGGGAGCTTCCAATGGCTACTGTTAGAGTATGCATTTATTACATATATTTGTTTTCTTTTTTCTATAAATGCATCATAAATATTTTTCTCAATAATTCATAGGAATCCGGTTTCTAAGCTTGGAATACATTTGGAATATACATTATACACATATATATATTTATACCTAACAATTTAAGCAATATCTCATGCTAGTTGCTTTTAATAAAAAGCATTCCAGTCTTAAAACCTGCATTTGTGTCTAATACATGCTTCAACAACCAAATTGATAAGTTCAATTGCTAGATAATGTAGAAGAGAGACAAAACATTTGAAAATTGGTTGTTAAAAATGGTTGAATTTCAAAGACCCAACAGTATTTGCCACTTTTTTGGCAACTACCTTAATTTTTTTTTCTTTTTTCCTTTTCTCTGAAACAGCAATGAAAGAAAACAAAACAAATCTAAACTTGTCGACAGTTTTTGGAGACGCTCTGCTCAGCTGATGCCTGCTTCCCACCATCATGCCAGCACAAGCCAAAAAGTCTTCCTTCCTGATGGCAGTCCTTGGCTTTCCCAACCAGAGGAAAAATATTCAGGAACTGCTGTGTTTTGTTTTTTTTTTTTTTTTTTTCTTTTCTTTTCTTTTTTTTTTTTTTTTTTTTTTTTTTTTTTTTTGTTTTCTTTGCTTTTCTGTTTTTTTTTTTTTTTTTTTTTTTTTTTTGGTGGTTTTTTTTTTTTTTTTTTTTTTTTTTTTTTTTTTTTTTTTTTTTTTTTTTTTTTTTGTGTGTGTGTGTTTTGTTTTTTTTAATTAATTTTTACTTAAGGCATTGTTCCTCAAACTTCAGAAAATCCAGCTGCACCAAATCCATCAATTAAAAAAAAAGGCACAAACTCATCTTCAGATGGCTTTGGAGACAATAAAGCCGACTCCATCTGGGCTACTGTTCCCCCCTTCTGCTTCCCTTTTCTTTAGGTGTCAGATGAGTCCCTCGTTCCCTGTCCCTCCCTGTTAAAAATTCACCATCATCTCCCAACATTCCAGTTCCGACAAGAGCTGTTGCTGACTCACAGGCAGGCAAGAGCCATTTCCAAATATCCAAGAAATGAAAGTACACAATGGGTTGAGTGGTTCAAGCAGAGATTGCTCAGTTGTGGGTAATCAACTTTGTAAGCACCAGTTTTATGTTAAGGTTTGTTTGATTTGTGTTGTTGAATCTTTGATTTCTTTATCATTCTCGCGTTTCGTTTTTGTTTGGCAAGTCTGCCAAAGACTTCCCAGGCATCGTTCCTCTTTCTGCTCCCGGTAAGGACCAGAGGAAGAGTGCCCAACGTGTCAGTCCTTTGCTGCTCTTCACCAGCGTTTTTTTTCAGCAAAAAGAGACTCAAAGATGCAGAGAGATTTGTTTTTTGTGTCGCTTGCTTTGCTTTACACCTGGCTGTCCTTCCGTGTTCGGGAAATAACCGTGACAGGACGCAGGAGTAACAAGAGAAAGCTTCTTGGCAGAGCTTCAAGACGAAGACGAACAGACAGGAGAACTCCAGCTCAAAGGTGGGTGCTACAGGGGAGGCTCCTCTTCCATGGGTTCGTCCTCAGGTCTGAGGGATTGTGCAGCCAGGTACGGTGGGACAGGGAGGGGAGAGAGAAAAGAGGGTTTGGCATGACACAGCTGGACAATTCATGGTACCAAGTCTCACTCTTTTATGTTCCCATCACCTTCCCACCCAGCCAGCTGGGATCACCTGAATTAAACTTGCCACCAAGAAGGGTTTTTGGACAATCTCACTTGGGCAACATTAAGATTTTCCCCAGCAAAATAAATTCGTTTTTGTGGTCCAAAACCACACTCAGAACAGAAGGCTCAGGCACAGGGTGCACGCACAGAGCTCATGGCTCTGCTGCTCTCCTGCAGCCTGGGAGATCTTCTGGGAACCCACGGAAGACAGGGGATGTGGGAAGCACAGCAGCAGTGGCTGAAAGGAGAGAATTAACCTGCAAGGCTGCTCCTCCTGGCTGCACAGACTGGAAATGTGATGGGAAACCACTGACCTCTTCTCCGCTGGCTTCACACCCACCGACAGCGATGCCATGGCTGTCACTGTCTCCGCCTCCTCGTTCTCACACTTCTGGGCCTCCACCAGGGAATATCCCACCGTGGAGGCGAAACGCTGGAGGGAATGCCAGTACTTGCCTGGGGGAGAGGTGACAACAGGGCCATCAGGGCACCATTCCAGCTCCTGCTTTCCCAAACCCGGCCACCGGCTCGGAACTGCCCAAGGAACACTCATCTGATCCATACTCTCACTTTAAGGGCCTTAGGTGCTCAAAAAAGAATTCCTTTTTCCACTTCAAATACCTCAGAGACTTCTAGACCTAAGGACAAATGTACCTGGAAATGTCTCTCAACCAAAAAATCCAGGAGAGGGAAGGATGCAGTCCAGGTCTGGATCCACCTGCTGACTGCCACATACTTTCAGTGGGCAAATCCCCGAAGACTAAAGAAATCCAAGATGTATTTAGAACCATTAAGTTGGAAAAGACCTCCAAGACCACCCAGTCCAACCTTCAACCTCCAAAATATTTTTTATGTCGGCAGTTTGACACCCTTTTCCATTGGGAATAGCACTGGGAAGGCTCCAGAGGAAAGAATTTCCAGTAATTTCTCCAGGCAAGGTTCAATGCAATGATTTTAAATCATTTATTTAGCTAAATAAACCTAAAATATCAACAACTGTCAGCAAAACTTATAGAATATCCTTGCAAGGGATCATCCCTTGGGAAAAATCATCATGTCCAACTCCTGGCCCCGCACAGGACATCCCAAGAATCCCAGCCTGTGCCTGTGAGCCTGCTTCACTTCCACACCTATCTACTCCTAATTAATGGGTGCCACAACACCCAACAAGACTTGTGCTATTCAGAGATACTTAATTGGTTTTGAAGTATTAAGAGCACCCTCTAATGGCAGGACAGTCTGTCCTTTACAGAGATTTTAGATCTTTTAATTTTTGTTGGGTTAACAGCTAGACTGGATCCTCCTGAAGGTCTACCTAACCCATGCTCTGATTCTGTCATTCCCCCTAAAGGCTAAAGCCCTGCTGGGCATGGCTCCATCCACACTAACACCAGCTTGTGGCTGCACAAACCCAGCTCAGGATGCAGTGACCACCAGTAAACTGGGAAATGGGAGCATGGAGCTGGCACAATGGTGGGGAAGCCCAAGGGGGATCCCCCAGGGATGCAGTTGGGTCGGTGGGGCTGCACTCACTGTGGATCTCGATGACCTTCTCCATGGAATGCACTGCGTTAGCATTTGCTCTCTGCTGGAAAACCTTCTCTGGAAGAGGGTCAAGCTGGAGAGAGAGAGAGGAACACCAAAGGAATGTTACCATTGAATCCCAGAATGGTTTTGGTGGGAAAGAACATTAAAGCTCATCCCACTCCATGCCTGCCATGGGCAGGGACACCTTCTCCTAGTCATTCTGCAGTGGGAACATGCCTGTGCTATCCCAGGGAAAGGCCTGACAAACACTGATGGAGGAATACTTTAGGATTTATTTGATTTTCTTTAGAAAAACTCAAGAAGAGAAGACACCTCTGCCCTCCCAGGTTCTCCACTAATGAATGAATTCATCCCAAACCTCCAAGGTGAGCTGTCCAAAACAAGAGATGTCCACTGCTGTTAACTGTGCTAAAAACAGCTCAACGAGGGATGTTCCCCAGCAAAGAACAGCCAGAGTTTAAGAGTTAAAAATATCTACGGCAAAGTTTAACTTTGCTCAAAGCCAAGAGAAGCTGCAGCCAAAACTGCTCTTATGAGCACATGGCAGCCATTCCATCGGTGCTTCACGGGACGCTGCATTCCAGATTCAGTAATTATGGATTGCACTTTTTATTAATTCTCCACTCTAAAAATAGTTCTGCTCCAAACTGGTTTCTGTATGACATTAAGTGAAGGCAAAAGCAATTCCTGGTTAAGTCTTTGTGCAAGAGCTTTCCAAGGCCTCTTGGTTGACACTGAGACAAGGCATGTTCCTGATTCCAGAAGTCACTCCTCCTCTTGAAATAGCAATCACAAAGAGCCTCAGCCTGTGGAAAAGGGAGCAAAAAACCTCTGGGCATGAGGCACTTGGTTGTCATCACCTTCTTGTTTGAAGAGCAGAGGCTGCGGATGCCCATGATGGACTGATCAGCCCTGCAGAGTAATGGGAAAGGAACGGTGGCTAACTGGTCTGGACTGCCATCAGCAGACCTCAAAACCATGGAATCATGGAATACTGGTGGGTGAAGGGATCTTAAAACTCATCTCATCTCACCCCCTGCCATGGGCAGGGACATCTTCCACTAGCCCAGTTGCGCCAAGCCCTGCCCAGCCTGGCCTTGGACATTTCTGGGGATGCAGGGGCAGCCACAGCTGCTCTGGGCACCCTGTGCCTAGAGAACAATTCCCAGGGAACAATTCCTTTCCAACATCCCATCTAACCCTGCCCTCTGGGTTAAAATGGATTAAAACCATTCCCCCTTTTCCTGTCCCATCAGAACCTTGCCTAAAGTTCCTGTCCAGCTCTCTTGGAGTCACTTTAGGTACTGGAAGACTTCTCCCTGGAGCCTTCTCCAGGCAGAACAACCCAAAGTCTCTCAGACTGTATCAAAGTCTCTTTCTGATTTCCCACTCCTGATTTCCACTGAAGCCCTGTGAGCATTGCACAGTTCTGCCAGCACAGCAATGCAGGTCCATTCCCCAGCCCTGACCCCCTCCCCAGTGCAGTAATCAGCTGCACAGCCCCAGCTCTGGTTTAATTTCCTGGCAGGTTGGAAAGGAGCTGGTTCCTGCGCTGGCCCCATGCTTCTTCCGACGCGGGAGTTTTGATCTCCGCCGGTGGACGCTGTGCTCAGGGGACTGACACTGCTCCCCTCATTTCCTACCAGCCCCAGTGGAGCTCCAGGATGGCTCTTGAGCCAGCCCAGCTCCCTGCAGCCTGCCCAGGCCACAGCTGCCTGTCCATGTGTGTGCAGGCAGGATCCTCCGACACGCTGTAGATCAAACTGCATCAAAGGGCCGCAGCACAGAGCTGCAGCCGCTCCCCCCGACTCCCCTGCCTTCAAAAGGTTCCAGGAAAGACCTGGATCAAACAAGTGTTTCCTGCTTTCTGATGTGTGGGTAAGCCAGGGAATATTACCCTATCTGCACAGCCCACCTAGGACAAGTGAGAGCAGGTCTGCGTTTAAGTGTCCTTATAGCCATGATTAAAATAATCAATGGTTTTTATCTTTAAGGATCAATATTTCCTTTGCTCAACGAAATCACTCAGGTAGCTCACAACATCCAAGGTATCCTGAGTGCTGAGCTCTCCCCACAACCTCACACTCCCAAACCCACCCATGGCTTGGATCAAGCACTTATTTACTGCTTGTGGTTGCAGTCAGCCTCCTGTGCTCCTAGGAGCACCCTGAGCAGGAGGAACGACATTCTCCAGGTGTTATTCCCATTGCTTCTCTTTCAAAGTGCATCCTGCACCCAAAGGTGGCTGGAGCCAGAGGATTGTCTGTAGTGACCACTTAAAACATATGGGTGCTGCAATAAACACCTCACAGAATCCCAGGAAGGTCTGGCTTACAAGGGACCTTAGAGCTCATTCAGTCCCAACCCCTGCCTGGGACAGGGACACCTTCCACTACCCCAGGCTGCTCCAAACCTAATCCAGCCTGGCCTTGGACACTTCCAGGGATCCAGGAGCAGCCACAGCTTCTCTATGAAACCTGTGCCAGTGCCCCACCACTGGAACCCCCCTGTTTCCATGCTGGTGTGGTAGCCGCCTCCTGAGTTTTCAGCTATCCCGAGGGCTGAGTGCAGGCTGGAGCCATTCCCCGTGCCCAGAGCCTTCTCAGAACTGCCTGGCCAAGCACAAGGAGCAGGATGCTCCCTGGACACTGGGAGCTGGGATGCTGGATGATGGAAGCAGGTGCTTCTGATGAATCCCAGCTGGTTTATCTCCTGGCCTGGCTCCCCCAGCCTCCCACCTTACGCTGAGTGTGGATACTCCAAGACAGAACACTTCTGCAACAGGCTGAAGGTCAAACTGCTCCACACCTCCATGCAGATCCAAGCTCCCTCTCCATCTTTCCAGACACCTGATGGTCACTGAACTACAACCCTCCGCAAAAATCAGGTCCCACTGGAGACAGACCCACTGCTCAGCTCCTCTGGAGCTGCACCTCAGCCCAAAGTATCTGTACTCAAAAGCCCTCAAACATGGTTTCAAGCTGCACCAGAGGAGGTTTAGGTTGGATATTAGGGAAAATTCCTTCACTGGAAGCATGCTCAGGCATTCAGTCAGGCTGCCCAGGGCAGTGTGGAGTCAACACCCCTGCAAGGATTTCAAAGATGTGTAGATGTAGTGTTCCTTCTTTCATCCCACTGACACTAAAAGTGGGGGATAAAAAAGTAGAAAAGATGGAGTATCTAAAATTTTCTCTGTAGGAAAATACTCTGAGCTCTTCAGAATCCAACATCTTGCTGTATTTCTCCATCTGGCTCTTATCTTGCAATCATTCCCACCCTCACCTTTTTGGCCAATTTTTCTGACAGAGCCAAGGCTTTTCCTACACAGCAACATACAGAAAATAGAAAATGTAACTCCTAGGAAAAAACCCAGCTGCAAACCATGTCAAGCAAGCTGCCCCAAGTAGCAGCCACAGGCTGTAGGACGAGAGAGGGGAGCAAAGAGAAGGGAAGACTTGCACAACGAATTCAGAAATTAATCGAAAGAGCTGTTTTTCAAAGAGCATGAAGCAAATTATTTGGAAAAAGAACAAACCCAAAAATCATTCTTAGCTGTTTCACTCATTGCAGGGACTGCAAAGCACAGGTGGCTTTTAAGCACAAAACAAACACTCTTCTAAACACCAAGTGTCAGAAGGACACAAAACAACGACAGAAACTTGGCAGACGGGAGGATGAGACGCCCAAAGCCGAGGGGGGAGTGGGTTTTGGGGGTGCCTGTACCTCGTTTCCCAGCAGGGCAGACACACAAGCTTCCGAGGCGTCGCAGATGGCCGTGAGGTCGTGGCCACCCTCGAGGGCCAGCACGACACGGCCCCCGGCCAGGCCCATCAGCTGCTTCGTCAGGTACCCAAAGCCTGCAAGGAGGGAACAGAGGAAATGCAGGAGAAGGGCAAAGGTGGCGGCTGGAATGGGGCTCCTGGCAGAGGATCAAAGAATTAGGGAGAGGAATTACATCATATTAAAAAGCCAGCAGGGATTTGAAAAGGCTCGGCGCATAACGCGAGCCAGGTTGGGCTGTAACGTGCTCGCTGCGCGGCTCCAACCGCGGCTTCCCTGGGATAGATCCGTGTGTCCCCCACCAGCACCACCCCAGCCGAGAGCATCACCGTCCTCCCCTTGCCACCCCTCAACACCCCAAATTAAAGCCAGCAGCCAACCTTCCCTTTGGAAGCAGGGAAAAGGGCAGATTTCTGTTGGATATTGCTTAGGGGAAGGGGGAGGAAGGGGAATCGGCCCAGTTTGGGTGGGGATAGCAGCAGCGCAGTGCCCCAGAGAGATTTAGGTTTGACATCTCGTTCTCAGCAGACAGCTCTTCCCGTCCATAATATGCTATAAAAATTCCAGGGGCACCCGGCACTTTGATCAGATGACACACAATACATTTCTGCCCCCTTTAAACAAAACAGAACCAAGAAGCGAGGATTTAAAAAACATGTCCTCAAAGCAACCTTCCCCCTCCAGGAGAAAAAAAAAAACAAACCAAAAAGCCAAACAAAGGAGAAGCCAGGGAATTTCTACCCTCCATCCCCACTGCCTGCTATCTGCCTCGGAGCGAACTCCTTTGCGAGTCGGCAAATTAACAAATTAACAGGCAGAGAAAACCATCCACTGCTGAGCACACAACTGGTTTTGTGAGAGGAGCAGAGCATGGCAAACTCAACCAGCAGGTAAACAAGACCTTTCCTTTCCAAAATGTTTCTGGATATCTCAAGGAACTTGCCTCTTGTAAACCTATTTCACGTTAGTCTCACATAAAGTTTACAGGTTCAGCTCCCTTATGAGGTTTTAAAGTTCACTGTAGAGAACAACTTTTCTGGCTGGAACAAACTCTTAAAAAATAATAGTAAAACCCTTTTTGCAAGAAAAACTCTCCTCCGGATTAATTTGAAGGAAACAGTGCCAGGTAAACTCCACATAACCTGGGGGGGATTTTATTGAATCTCCCAAAAACATCCCAGACCTGAAGCAAAAAGAAGGGTTTGTGGGATGTCTGTAATTAATTCAAAGGTGGAGAGCAAAAATATTCAGCTCAAAATTTTAATAAGGTGTCCTGGAGGAAGAAATGGATTTGTGGTGGCAATTGAGAGTGTTTAGAGCTGGTATGGCCTTTTTCTGCAATTTTATATTAATGCCAGCATAACTCTTTAATTCAGCAGAGATGTGACTACAAATAAATTACACAATATTACATATTGAATATTTCGAAGTTGAAATATGCAATGTTTCAAAAAAAACCCCAAAATTAAGGCTTCAGCTGGGCCAAAATATGCATTATAAAAAGATAAATGCCATGAAAATTCAAAGAAGAAAGATGGAAGTTTTGCCATTGAAATGAAAGATCTGAAATAGACCCCCACTAAGTAAAATCTGGGAACACTGTCCTTTAATCCATAGGACAGCAGCAGAAGTAAAGCCCCCACTTACATTTTGCTGACAGATTATATCCTCCCAGGGGTGTGGGATGCCCTTCCACAGCATCGAAACCAGATGACACCAGCACAACATCTGGGGCAAACTCGTTGGCAATGGGCATCACTACTGTCCTGCAACACAGAATATCCACAGCACACACGTCAGGGGGCTCCTGAGCAAAGGCAGGGGTGCTTAAACCCTCTCACCAAACCCTTATTCCGTGGCAGCAAAGCCCATCTATTTCTCTACAAGGTGAGAGCCTAGCTGGGAGAACTCCTTGCACTCCCTGGGATTTCCTCCACCTCGTGTTTTGAGCAGGCAAATGAGTTGTCACCCCTTGTGTTTCCCATTTGGGATCACATCCTGATTTACATACATGGGAATTAGGGCAAAGTAAGAGGGCATCTGGCTGCAAAACTACATCACTCCAAGGCATTATCTCCATGTCCTCCCTCAAAACATCTCCTATAGGCTTTGCAAAGTGATTCCTTCCTCCCTTGCTGCACTTCTCATTTCCCACAACAAAAGGCTAGAGTGTCCCATGGGGCAGAACAGCTTTAGAATGCAAATATCCCACCCAAATCCACCTCTCCCAATGCCACTTCCCCATCCTCTGACTTTGTTTACAAAAGAATGGATGGAATTGTTCAGCATGCCCATCCTATTGATTGTTGAAGTTGTAGTTAAATTAAACAAGGGGTCTGTTCCTGTGGTTTCTCACCAAAAGACCTTTTTTCCTTCTGGTTTCTCTCTCTCCAAACTCCACAAATTCTCCTCAAAACCTGCAGGAGGTTGCAAACATCCCATTCCCCGCATCAAGACACACTTCCCAAATTACATTTTTTCCATTGTAACTGCACCTACTGAGTACTAGGGATGTATCCCTAGGGCAACCTGACCTGTAATTTTCCCCTTTACCCATCCTAGGAACAGCCACCAGCCAGCATAACTTTCTAGAGCAGGAACTGGGGTTATTTTACCCACATCCCAAAGCATGGACCTGTAAATCTTTGCACACACGAGAACCTCACACTTTATTGAGCCGAGTCTTTGTGATGCTCTAAAAACAGAGCCCGGGGGGCCTGTTCTGTGCTGAGATGGCTGAAGTGCTATCAGAACGCTCATAAAAGCTCCCAGGTTTTGCCATGAGGATATTAAACAGGCAGGAGACATATGCCAGAGTCAGCAGCTCGTGACATCCAGCTGAGCTCGTGCCCCTCAGAACGGGGCATCAGCCTCCGCCAGGCACTGAGCAAACCCATCCCCCCATCTCCACTGCCACCACAGAGCAGGAACAGGCACCCAGACACCAAAAAAACACCCCCCACACACACACCTCCCAGCTTTATTTTCTCCCAGCTATTTGCCACAGCAACCCCAGAGCCTCCTGCAACATTGCTGATCTCCGTGTGCAGACACAGAGACCTCTGTGAGAACAAAGGGATAGCATTTCCCCTTAATACACACAAAATCCCAACAAGGAATTTGAATTTTCTCCTCTGACAACATGATTGCCCCTCTCCATTTTGCCCTTGGGGGATGATTCCATGAGGAGGACTAGAGCACAGCTCTGCCTGATGAGTTTACAGTTTGGTGGAACCCATAGAAATTTTTAGGAGAAACCACCTCCCTCACCAAGGCCTGAAGCAGCAATTCCAGAGCAAGTGCAGCAGCCAAAGGTTTATGTTCCATGAGGTTTTTCATTCCTAACCCAAGGAAAACTGCTTGAAGAATCAGATTTATTTCCCCCCCTCCCCAAGTTACGACGCTGTGGGAGCTGCTAGGATCTCAGTGGAAGTGTGGGATCACCAGAGCCAGCCAAAACCTGCATCCCCAGGGGCTGGGGATGGTCCACCAGCACTGATCCATGGGGATCACAGATCCATGGGGATTCTCAGCCATGGGACAGCTCATGGAGCACAGCATGGTTGGGAAGGACCTTGACCTCCATCTCATTCCAACCCCTGGCACGGGTGTCCTGAGGCTCCTGAGGAATGGGGCAGCTGGTGACCCTCAGCTGGAGGTGGCTGTGGGTGACAGTGGCACAGTGATTCCTCCAGCACAGCCACACAGCCCCCAGGGCTAACCTTGAACCCTGCCAGGGGCATTTCTAGGAGAGAAAAAACCCTTCTCCTAATTCCAGTACGACACCAGCACCCGAAAGCCACATCAAACTCTGTCTGATGCTCTCCATGGATGTAAAACTTGATCCAGGAGGGTCACAGCCAGAACTCCCTCATTTTGCATTTTCAATTATAAGAAAAAATGACAAAAATCCGGAGTGTTTCCGAGATTCCATCTGTGGACAACGTTTTGGACACATCTCTTTCAGCTTTTTGCTTTTTATTTTTCCCTTGTCCACAGATAAAACCAGCCCCTTCACTCAGATCCACTCCAGTAAAGTCAAACCCTCGAGGGGAAAGAAGGATTAAACTGGAAACAACCCCTTGGCTTTGCCCTGCTGATGAGACTCTAAAAAAGCTAGAAATTTGAATTATTACCCAGGAGATAAGCAGCTCTGCCTGGAGTTGGGTCTTTTAAGGAATCGCTGAGGTGGCTGTAAAGTTATTCACTGAGGAATGAATATTCCTAACACTGAATATTCATTCAATCTATGTAGAATTTTTTAAAAAACAAGGAAACCGAAATTTCCCTAATTTCAGAAGCTTGTTTTGCTTGCTTAAAATAAATGAAATCCTTTTATTTGCCTGGTTACAGCTGAGCTGAACAGCTCTACACAAGAGCGAATGGATGGCTGCAACCAGCAAAGCCTCCCCATTGTGTTCTGCCATCGCTTGGGAGAGAAGAAAAAAGAATAAATGCAATTTTAGATCTATTTTCCAGAAGGCTGAATGAACAATTTTTAGCCTGGCATTAGCCAATTCCCCAATTAAATGCCTAATAAATGACAGGTAAATGAAACTATCCTACAGAGGATTATTTTGGGCTTTAAGTGCTCAATTGCAGCGAATAAATTGGTGAAAGTTAGAAGGCTGAACACTTTTTTAGACTTTTTCCCACTCTTGGCCAAATCTATGTTTTATATATATTTTTATATGTGCTATATAAAAATTTATTTATGTGACGTGTATATATTTATATTATGAATATATTTATATATCTATTGATATATTTTATATTTCATATATATCATGTGTATATTTCTATATATGGTTTTATACACATTACATATTTTACATACATAAAATAAAAATGTTATCCACTGCTCCTCAGGCTAACCAGCTTCCTGAAAATTCCAGTCTTTGTTTCTTCATGGTCATTTACTGTGTCAAAAGGGATTAGGAATTTTGGGATGAAATCGGCATGGGGAGAGCATGAAATTGAAAATACAGCAACAACCGTTCCAGGCAAACCATCAGTATCTCTTCCCCCTCATCCTCTTCCTCGCTCCTGAAATGGTTTATGGATCGAGGGAAAAACCTAAATGCCCCTAAAATTGGTCTCTGAACTTGTTTAAAGCTTTTTGAAAGCAGCAGGAGGAGGGGGAAGCGCAGTCCTGGCTTTTTCCTTCTGGCTGAGGTGTTTTAAATAAAGTCAAAATTGGAATCGAGCTGTACGTGGAATCATGGCTGGAATGATGGTGGAATTACTGGGACAGGGGAAGAAATTCTCAGACACAACACAACTGCTGGCATCATCAGGACAACTTCCTTGCAGTAAATTCAGAGGAAAATTTCTGCGGATAAAACATTTTTAATTTCACTAATTGCTGTTCCCGTGTAATAAGGAAACAGCTGAAGCCTTCCCATTTTTCCTACAGGTCTCTGCACCTGGATCAGGAGGATTGAGAGAGGCAAACAGGATTTCAGCTGATGTAAAATGTAAGGGAACAACAAAGCCTGGTCCAAAAAACCCCTCTGAATTTTACAACTTGTTTGTTTCTGTAACTATGGAATGACAGCAGAGGCACCGCGAATGTTCTGGGCAGTTCAGGACTTTGGGAACGATGTGCCCTGCATTTTTCCCATTAAACTGACCCCATTTCTGCCTGATCTGTGAAATCTGGGATTGCCCAACACTCGGGGGGTGACTTCAGACATGGGATGTGGAGCTGACTCTGGCCCAGCCGCAGCTACCCACAGGGTGCAGGAGCTCCAGGCTCCCAAGAAAACTTGCCAGATCCCTTCTGATCACCCCCTCCCCCCCACAAAAACAGTGCACCCCAACCTGGAGCTGGGGCAGGCAGTGATTTCAGCTGCAGGTTAGGAAGGCAACAAGTGACAAAGTGCAGAGGAAAGCTCATTTTTAACTCTTCGTCACTTCTGTTACGTCTCGATGGCATTAAGGACCATCCAGAGGTCAGGAGAGTTGGGCACCCCAAGACTAATAATTTAGTAATATTTGGAGGATGAAAATCACTGATCTGAGTTCCCATCTCTTTCTTGCATGGAGCAAACCCACTCTGAAATAAGTTTTCAGTGTGGGGATGAGTGGTTTCACTAGGATTTATTTATTCCCTCATTTCTCTCATTCAGAAGGACAATTCTCAGTTACTTTTGTTTCTCAAACCCACACACACTGGCTTTTCCTGAAACACAACAACAAAAAATGAGGAGCATGTTGCTTATTTAAATCTGCTCCTTTTACACAGAAAAAGGACTTTTTTTCCCTAGAAACAGACAGGCATGTGAAGAGTTAAGGCTTGAAAAAAAAAAAAAAAGAAAAAGTCTATCAGTATCTTTGCCTAGCTCAAAGGATTTCCACTGATTCCTCTCCAGACTTCAAAGCCTCACAGTTTGGCATTCGGACTGGTTTGAATTAAAGCTCAGTTCTCCACTGTGAGTTTCCAAGTTCATGGTGAAAATGCCTCCTGCTTCTGGAGTTCATTATGGCCAATTTTCTTATCTTTTCTTCATCTTCGGTTTGATCCCCAGCAAATGCAACGTGGCATTCAACGGGGTGGAATAACAAGGTGCTGCCTTGAAGGCATGTATTGTCTCAAGGGGCTAAAGCAAGAAAAGAAGGGGGGAAAAATAGGATATATGACCCATTCCCTTCACTTTCTAACTCTCGGGGGACTATAAATTGCAAACTTCAAAGCGTTATTTTACATTAAAATCAATAGAAAGATTTGGGGGTTGGGGGGAAAAATGTTTTTCAAAGGAGCTGGTTAAGATTTAAAAAGGTCACTTGATAATGTACTATCATGGTCAAACTTGGCATAGGATGAAAAAAATGCTTCTCGTTTAACTTATGGTTAAACTGAAGGTGTGCAGGCTCTGGGAGGAGCATCCCCCAGCTCCCCCAAAACTCCCCAAAGTAAGGGCTGTGACCCACTCCAAAGGCTGTTCCCTAAAGAGCTGCAGTGTCCAGGCAAGCAAACCCCAGGAATGGCTGGCAAAGGCCTCACTGTGCAGCCCTGAGCCTCTTCCAGGAGCCTGGACACTCCATTAATATTTAATGTCCCCAGCTCCAGGTGCTCTGGCTATGAAGAGATCTGTCCTGGGGCGGCTGGGATAGCCAGGCTCCCACTCTGGAGCAATGTGCTGCCTTCCTGAGCCAGGAGTGACACAAATGGCAGTGATTTGGTGTCATTTGAAATCGGGTGTGTTCTCTGAGGGCTTCAGGATGGGAGAAGGAAGAGGGGGAAAAGGCGCTTTTTGCTCAGCCTAACGGGATATAACAGGGAAGAGCAGAAAATAATGCTCCCGGATTTAATGCCCTTCCACGAAGGTGATGTCCTAGAAATTCACACCCTGTGCTCTGGCAGGTGCGTGTGTGCCTGAATTTAGGTCACCAGAGGTGTGAGGAGGACAGAAAAGCACTTCAGATTGTTAAAGGAGAGGCCAGGTGGACCCGTGGCACAGGGGAGCCAGGGAGTGGGACAGGGCAGTGTCTAAGAAAAATCATGGAATGGTTTGGGTGGGAAGGAGACTTAAAGAAGATCATCCAGTGCCACCCCTGCCATGGGCAGGGACACCTTCCACTGTCCCAGGTGGCTCCAAGCCCCAATGTCCAACCTGGCCTGGGACACTTCCAGGGATCCCAGGGCAGCCCTAGCTCCTCGGGGCACCCTGTGCCAGGGCCTCTCTTGGATAAATAATATCAAAATTTTAAAGCTTATCAAAAATAAATCACGGAGAATGGCACGAGGGGAAGGAAACCCAGATGAGGTGAAAAATACACTTGTGAGAGGGAAAATTCAGTAGTACCTGAAGGCAGTTAAGTATTCCGTGTCTCCCATGGGCGGATCCAGACCACCAGTAAATGCCATGTTAACATTGAAACCAACTCCTGCTCCTGTGCCAACCTGGAAAGGGAAATGGAACTCTTAATTATCAAATTCTGGCAAAAAGTTTTTGCTGTTTTGATGTTCTCCCAGTCCAATTTAGATCTGGATTCATTAGTCAGGTAGATTAGTCCCTGGTCCCTGAAACAGGAGGGACGATAAAGCTCCTCCATGCTCAGATCTTTATGGGAGCTGAGGACTGGTGGTGTTTGACTGCTGCTCACCCAAAAAAACCACCCCATCATCAACTGCACCCTCCTGATTTTTCTGCAGCATTGTGTGCTGTATGTAATACCTTTCCATAATTCATTTTAAGCTTGATTCAGGAGCATATTTTATATTGCATGACAGTTGCAACTGGGGAAAAAAGTGCATTTTAATCAGGGTGAGCTCCCCCTCTGCTGGAGAAAAATAGGATTCACAGAGAAGGGATTTTGGCTGCTTGAGGGACATGTGGGTTGGAGATGTAAATACATCCCTCTCCTAGCTTGTACTGCAAATGTCCCCATCTGCCCTGCCTGCAACTACCTGAGAGAGGGGAAAACTGAAAAATAAACCAGGGTTTTCCAGCCTTTTTTTTTTTTTGCCAAGAATGTCTTTGCATATGAAAAAAAAAAGAATTAAAAAGTGAAAATCAATGTGTTGCACAGCTGGACAAAACTGCATGGCTTTTATTGCACATTATTCCTCATACTGGTGCAAATATTTTTGATAGAAAAACACAGGGGTTCATCCACCCACAGTGGGTTATTTATCCATCATTGGCTTAAATCAAACTTGTTTGGTATTCTTTCTTTTATTTGGTCTAAAATGACACATCTAAAAATGACTCCTTTTGTAAACCAGATTGCTAAAAAGCAGGAATTAAGCCTGATACAAAGGGCTGCTGTTCATTCCCTACAACAGTCAGCAGCATCACATCACATTTAAGTTTCTTTAGAGGTTGAAATGGAAATATTGATGTTTTCTCAAGCAGCAAATGTAAAATTGACAGGGGAAGAAGTTTTCAGGTGTCACCTGGAGAGTCTCGGAGCAAAGTATTCCAAAAACTTCCCTTTGCTAAATCACTCTGAAGGACCGTATTTCCTGCCAGCCCAGAGGGAAAGGAAGGATGTATCCATCCAGAGCTCAGCTCTCAGCCCCACTGGCCCAGCCCCACTGGATTTCCCACCAGGAAAGGGGGATTTGCTCCAGGAGCATCGTGACTGGCCCTCACATCCCACAGATTTGGGGTGGAGATGCAGCCTTGGTGGTGATGAGCAATACCTGGGCAGGGCCAGGAGAAAGAAGGGGAGGTGGAGAAGGGGAGGTGGACAGGCTCCATGGCTGTGCCAGGAAAACCGAGTGTGGGTGGTGCAGCATGGACAATCTGTTCCTTCAGCATCTAACAAACAACTTCTGCTGAGGAAGGGGAAATCCTGAACAGGACAGAGAGTGCTGGGACATCTGGCAGAGGGAAGAGCAGAGGGCTCCTCTGGAGCAGGCTGTCCCACAAGGGCTGGAGAGCTAAATTGCAGTGACTCGTTTGCTGCTGTCCCGCCACCTCCAGCCAGGACACCGTGCCCGTGGCTGCTGGATCACAGGGACCTGGAGTGTCCTTGGATGGGGACACAAAACCCAGAGGAGCTCTGAAGGTGGCAAGAGCTCCTCTGAGTCCTGGGACTCTGGGATCCATGTGCTCACCTCGTCTGGAGCGCCACTGCCTGGGAAGAAGTTGCCATCATCGTAGCGATGGAGTGAGATATAAAGGACATTGGGGTCATTGTAGAAGGCCTGCTGAGTACCATTCCCATGGTGGACATCCTGCAGGGACAGGGAGGTTAATCCTTCACTAAAAACACGGATTAAAGGCATCAGTTTGGGATTTGGAGGGGTTTTCCATGCTGTTGAGCTTTGTTTTCTCCAACCTGGCTGAAGCAGTTTATGTGGAATGGGAATAACCTGTTTTGAACGCCTAGTTTGAGATTACTCTCCTTGATTAACACATGGGATAAACACAATCCCAAATGTCCATGAAACTGAGGACTCATTTACCTGGATGGAAAGAACTGGGTTCACACCAGTCTTGGGGGATGGACATACTGGGATATTTGTGCCTCACATCTGCATCTCTAGTCAGTCTGTGGGGTGAGCACCGATACAAATAAAGTTCTGCTGAATCCAAGTCAAACAACACAACTCATGAGAGCTCCCCTATTGAGCTGCCGTGTGATGCACAAACACAGCCTGTGACGGGACAGCTATTTCAAATATTCCTCCCTGACATGAAAAACAGGTGGGAAGTGAGGAAAAAAACATCCATCCAGTAAGTCCAAAAGACAAATAAATGCGTTTTGACTTGCGGGTTTAACCCGTGGGTGACTTGTGGCAACAGAGCCAAAATTTTTGGCTGATACCCAGTCACTCCAATGCCTTCCCAGCCTATTAAAAAAATAAAAATCTTAACATTGCCACAGCAGAATTCCAAATAAGCCCTTTCTTTTTATTTGAAAATTCTGGTCTCTTTAAGATTTTTTTCTCTGATTAGAACACTTTTATTCAATTAAAACCCCAAATTTTGGCTTGCAGACAACAGCCAGGAAGTTTTTCACTGACTTACAGAGCTTGCTCTTGCAAGAAGAAACCCACCCAAAATAATTTCCACCTGCTCTCCCAAAGGGAAAGAAGGGGCATTTACTCACCCAGTCCACAATGAGGATTTTGCTCACATTAAGCCTTTGCTGGAGCAGCTTGGCTGCGATCGCCACAGAGTTAAAATAGCAGAAACCCCTGGAGAGGGGAGACAAGAGGAAAAGAGAGGTGTTAATTACAGCTTCCCGTGGTCCCACTGCATCCATCACCTAGCCAGAACATGGGAGGAAGGAGTTCCTTCTGCTTTCACTCTTCTTTCCTCCCTGGAAACATGAAAAGGCTTGTGTTGGGAGGGACCTTGAAGTTCATCTCGTTCCATGGGCAGGGACACCTTCCACTAGATCTGTTTCCCATTGGGAGTGCTGAATTCCAGCAGCAGGCTCTAGGGAAACAGGGAATATCCCACACTTGCCCAAACCCACTGCTGATCCTTGCTAGGAAACACACCCCTGAAAGCACCAAGCAGGATCTTACACTGCTCCAGAGAATCTGGGGAGTCCTGAACACCACACATCTCATCGAGCAATAAACAGAAATCCCACAGTGATAACCTAACAGAATTCCTTTGGAATTCCCAGCTGTGGATCCCCCACCAAAGGAGCCCTGGATGAAGCCAGTGAACCCCATACTCACATGGGTGTGCTCTCCTCTGCGTGGTGACCCGGGGGCCGGACAACAGCAAATCCATTCTGCACACAAAACACAAGGAAAGGAAAAGGTCAGAGGGACAAGGATGGCTGCAGCCAAAAGCCTTAATCCTGCTTGGGAACTCTGGAGTTGCTCTTGATGGATTCCTCACAAGGTCATAGCAGCGGACGACGCTTTCCCTCATTGTGGAGGGGGAAAAGGTCCTGGAGCTGCTGCACGGCAGAGCCCTGAGCCCTGCACAGAGCACAGCTGAGGGGTGTTTCCATACCTTCAGCTCTCCTGTGGCCACTTTGAACACCAGCTCGATGACACAGCCCACAGCCAGGCGAGCGGCGCCTGACGAGTGCACCTCGTTCCAAATGGTGTCACTGTCGACCTGATGGGACACACGGGAACCAGATCAGGAGCAAGGAGGACAACCAGGAATCAAGAGACCCCTATCTTATAGAGACATCACTCACACGGGGTGATAGGACAAGGGGAATGGATTTAAACTGAAAGGGAGGGGGCTTCTTTCACATATTGGGAAGGAATTGTTCCCTGTGAAGATGGGCAGGCCCTGGCTCAGGGTGCCCAGAGAAGCTGTGGCTGCCCCTGGATCCCTGGAAGTGTCCAAGGCCAGGCTGGAGCAACCTGGGCTAGTGGGAGGTCCCTGCCCATGGCAGGGGATGGAATGAAATGGTCTTTAAGGTCCTTTCCAGCCCAAATCATTCTGTGATTCTGTGACTCTATGACCGTGGAATCAGCATTTCTCTTTAATTGCTGCTGATCTAAGATGAAATAAAAAAGGTTTATTAAATAATTCAATGATTCTTTAAAATAAAAAAAATCTACAATAAAGAGGGATGTTTATTGTTGGGCATTTAAAAGACAACTGCCCAGGAGTGACAGCAGCTTCCCTAGGGAGCCATGAGCTCACCCACTCTAACAACAGACCTTCAGCATCCCGTGCTGACCACACAGATTTGCTTCAACACTGAATATTCCACCATATTCCCCCTCTGAAAACGTGCAAACAGGCCACATTTTGCAAGGTAAGAAACCCTGCAGGCATGCCCATTGCTGTTGTTCCAGATCATGTCATCAGATCAATGGGACATTCCTCACTGGGAAGGGAAGGACCACCAGCTATTTTTCACATATTACTCTGCCCTGAGTATATCTATGGAAAAAATGGCAAAAAGCAGAGATGGGAAGAAAGAGATCATTTGTTGTGCCTGGCTCACTGAGCAGTGAGGAGACACAAGTGGCCCCATAGAGGACTGATTCACCTTCTCCCCAGCTGTGCTGAAGCTGCCATTGGAAGTGATTCCAGCTCTGTGATCATGGATGGTTTCTGGTAGCATCCACCCTGAGGGTGCTTTGGAAGCCACAATAAACTAGGAAAGCACTTGGAGAACACCAAAAAGCCTCTGGGGAATGCCACTGCATTGTGGAAGAGCCCTGCAGTGACTATTTGTGGCCTCAGGGCTCCTCTGGCCCGCTGTAAATTTGGGCAGTAACATGGGAACAGCAGCAGGATAGAGTTTGAGTTACACACGACAGCTCCAGGAACCCTGGATCAGGATTGCACACATACAGAAGATGGGCCTGAACTCACCAGGTCTCTCCAAAAGCCCCTAAAGAGGTGGGAAGAAGTCCAAGCTGTTGCTTCTCCCCACTGACCAGTGCACTGGTGCTCTGTGAGGGTCCATCTTTGGCCTCCTGTCACTGGATCTGACCACCAAGGAGTGTATCTACCCCACCTCTGGGCACACCTAACCCATCTCCAAGCAAACCTAACCCATTTTTCTTGGTCTTTGGAAGAAAGTACCTCAGACACCAGCAGAGAAGAGCTTCCCTTCCTGCCTGACACAGCAAGGTCAGGGCTCCTTCCATGGGCCCCCTTCATTCCCTATGAGGCACCAGAGGAATGGAAATACAAAATACCCAAATTCACGTGTCCTAAGGGGCCAACAGACCCACATCTGCTGGCTGCTGGGGCCAGTTTTTCCCATAAAAAAAGACAGGATTCTTCAGTGCCAGAGCCAAGCACTGCCAACATCCAGGCCCCAGCAGAATCCAGGCTCCTGCCAGGAGCATTCCAGGAAGAATGTCCAAAAAGAAACCCAAAGAGCTTTTCTTTCCTCATAATAAAAATTACAATTTCCTTACAATGATTTCCTTCTTTGAAGGAAAACCCAAGGTTTTTTTATTAATATCCATGATGAGGCTCCTACTCACACTGTAAATTCCTCCTACTCACACTGTAAACTTTCCCATTCACTAATGTGCAGCTATCTCAGAATTAAATGAGCACCCCACAAAATATTTCATTATTCTACTGAATAAAAAGACACTAAAATTATTCTACTGAATAAAAATACAATAAAGTTCTACTGAAAAAATACACAGGCAAGAAATCAAGCACCAGGACAGGCTGACACAGGTTGTACCAGAGCTCCAGACCCTGCAAAATGAAGGAGTTCTGCTCTTCCCTCACAGAGGAAGACACCCCACCGTGTCTCCTCCTGCTCTCAATTAAATAATTCTCACATTCTGTTCCTCTGACTCCCTAATTAGTTCCTCCTCATTTCCATTCCACTAAAGTCCTTTCCATGCTCTCTGCTCTGCAAGTTGCACAGTTACAATTGTTGATATGCTCTAATCAAAGCCCTTGCACCCCAAAATAGAATCACCTACTCTGGAGAAGATCAACAACACAAACACCTCTGGAGTTTTTAGAACATGTGCAGAAAAATTACACAGATCTTCAGCTATTTTTAGAATGTGCACAGCAACAGGAAAGAAAACAAATTTATCAGCTATCCTCAAATCAAGCCTTTGAGTGTTTTGAAGAATCTGGATGCAAGTGTGCTGGGATGATCTTGCAGATTTTTGAAGCTTAAACTCCTTTTTTTTCTCCCAAAACCTTCTTCTAATCATCCTGGATTAGGGAAGACCGTGGTGTGTGGAAGTCAGACGTTGAAAAAGGGGTGTGAGCTGCAGAAGAGCGAAGCTGAGCACAATTCCCAAGTGATCAGCAGAAATAAATGAGTGATGTTTCACTCAGAGTTCACACCTGTTGATTTCAGTGCTTCTGTGCTTTCTTTCTTCCTCTCCTGCTAGGACCAGAAGGCTGCAGAAGGGGGGAGGCTTGTCAGCCGTGGGAAGGCTTTTTGGGATAAACCAACAAGGAAAAAGAGCTTCCGAGCACCTGGGAACAAATTTACCCTTTCTCTCCTTGACTTCAATTCATCAAGACTGAGTTTTTAATTAAAAGAGATAGTCTGAAAGGTGTTATGAGATGAAGGGAGTTGCTCTGAACTATTTTATTGCTGCTTCACCCCCAGAGCTCCAGCAGTGTTTGGACAATGATCTCAGGGATGCACAGGGTGGGACTGTTGGGGTGTCTGTGCAGGGCCAGGGGTTGGATCACTGATCCCTGTGGGTGCTTTCAACTCTGGATATTCTGTGATTCACTCTCTTGCCTGTCCTTCATTTCACTCATTCTTGAGGAGAATTCATGGCTGCCCAAGTTCCATCCTCTATCCCGATGCAAAACAGCTCTCCAGGGGCTCCTCCCCCCCAAAACTGCCCTGCACCCCCCTCCAGACCCATCCTTCCTTTTCATCTACACAACATCCCCAAAGGAAGAGAGCCACACTTGATTGCTTGCAGGAAAAGAGCCTGGTTTCAAAGCTTTCCAGCCCATAATTTCACACAACATCCTCAGCTCCTGAATTCCAATCACCAGCCATCATTCTGCTTTATCCTGCTCCAGTATAAATCCAAAGGAGGACCTGTCCCACATTATTCTACTGATTTTTAATTTTTTTTTCCTTTCCTTTTGACTTGATGACATCATGTTTGCCCTCTGAAAAATATCTGGCAAACAATGGGGAATGGCTTCCCACTGAGAGAGGGCAGGGTGAGGTGGGATATTGGAAAGGAATTGTTCCCTGTGAGGGTGGGGAGGCCCTGGCACAGGTTTTGCTGATAGGACTGCTAAAACACCGCACCAGTCAGCAAATATTCAATATTAAGGGTCTGTGGAGACAACCAAGCAGCAAGCACCATCTTTATTGGGAGCATATCAGGAATACCAGCACCGAGGCGTTTCCTGCCCTGATTTGGGATTTAATGCAAGACTTCTGGGCCCGTGCTGGGCTCAGACACTGTCTCTACTTGTTACCATTCAGTCTTCATTTGCAAATGATAATTTTTTTTTGCTTTGAATGGCATGCCTGACTGCAGGGCAGAGTAAATTCAAACCTTTTAAGCTCTGGCCAAAAATTTGCCATGAATTAGGCGACTGCAGCATATTTACAATACAAAATAAAATATCTCCACGAGTGGCGGTACGAATAAACGACGATTATTCTCTTTTTTTTTTTTTTCTTCTGACGGGATAATTTTCAAAGCAGCGATTTTGCAAAGACTCAGGAAGAAAACAATTTTGTTTCATTTCCATAACAGAATCCAGACCTTGAAAATTCAACCTCATGAGCTACAATTATGCAGCAGAACTACCACTGTGAATTTTCAAACACAATGCCTTTTATTGTCTCTTCTCATTCTTTTCCCCTTCCTGTTCTCCACGATTTTCTGTCCTGTCACCCTCCACAGTAAGTCTGGAGCACAAAGTCTGACTTGAAAGGGAAACTTTTAAGCTTTCAGGCTTCAAAGGAAAAAAAAGAAAACCTTCAAAACAAGGTATTTGGAGTTTGGGTTTTTTTCGGCTTTATGGGAACAAACAACAGTAAAAAGCCTGATTATGTGGAAATTTGACAGCTGAAAAGTAACACTCAGCTTTTCCATGAGGGATGGAGGGGTATTTTAGTCACCTCCTGGAGAATCCACGTGGATTATCCTGGAGCTGGAGAATAAAAGATGCCAAATGCTCTTTCATTCCAGGGCAGAGAAACTTGCTATTCACAGGAAAATGTACATTCCCAAATATTGTCCTATTTCATGGCCATGTTTCCCACCTGCTGTGGGAGGCAGGAGGCTCCAGAGCCTTGAGACTGAGGATGGAACAGCTCCACAGCACCAGCACATCCTGCTTTCCACAGAAAAAAAAGCACTTTGTGATGCAAGAGCTGCTTCCAAACACAGCAACCCCTTCACCACTGAACATGCCAGCCTGGGAAATGAGGTTTTTCCTCCTGAACATGCCTCCCAGTGTCCCTGAGGCTCGGGCTCCCCGGAGCAGCTCCGAAATGCTGCGGCTGCTTTTGAAGAAAGGCACGTGAGGCACCCCGCGCCCCAGGCAGCCCCTGCTCACGGGCAGCATCTGGCTGCAATTACCCACCATGGAATGCAAAGCAGCAATTTTTGGTGCTGAGGGGACCAGGGGAGAGAACAAACAGGACATTATTTACACATTAAAGGGAGGTACTCACCCCGACACCACCGCAAGGCAGCCTGACAAACATCGACGTTAGGGAACCTGTGGGGGACAAGAAACGTCAGAAAGTCAGAGGTCACCAGATTCTGGGGCCAACTTTGTGGCAACTCTGCAATCTTTCCAAGAACAGAAACACACATGTTTCTTCCTGGGGGTTTTCTTCCCATTTTCACCCAGCCCTGTTACAACACACACACACACACACATAATGTACACACTTAGGCTCCTGCAAAAGCTGTCTATAAATCACTCATTTTTCAGCAAGGTGTGGGTGCTGTCTGATGTTTTGAGACTATGCACGAGGAAGATGCCACCAACAATCACTCAGTGTGTCTTCTCAGATGTGCATTTTAACCCCTTCCCACTGAGGGAGGAGAGGAAATCATAAAAACACCCCAATTGTCACTCATCTGCAGTTACTAGATGACTTTGGAAAGCATGGGCTTCATAAAAGAGGAAGACAGAAAAATAAACCAGTGACAAGCAAAGGAAAAACATGTGTTTTGACTGAAATAGCAAAACCAACAAGGAAAATGTGAGAAAAATTGAGAAAGCCATCTGCAGGGCTAATTTTGAATCTGTAGGAAATGTAACATCGCTTTCTGGGCTCGTGTGTGAGCAAATTATCCTCCATTCAAAATTCTGTGGGGTCCTGAGCAACCTGGTCTGGTGGAAGGTGTCCCTGTCCATGGCAGGGGTGGAATGGGATAGGCTTTAAGGTCCATTCCCACTCAAACCATTTAGAATTCTGTTCCTGAAAGAGGAGTTCATGCATCTGGACTCATCTGAGCTCAAAGTGAGATGCCCTCCTTGATTAGATCCACATGAAAGTTCTTAGATCATCCTGCCTCAGACCCCCTGTCCCATCTCTCACTGCTAATCCACCCATTATTTCCGTATTTATCTTCTTGACAACAATTTATGATTGCTCCCCACAAATTAAAAGCAGCCTTATTTGCCCAAGTTTCAACTTGTCCAACAGGTTCCAAGTATTTCCACTGTCCAAGGAGAGATGGGTTTGTACTTTGTATCCTTGACAAGACACAGGGAATGGCTTTAAACGAAAAGAGGGCAGGGATGGATGGGATACTGGGAAGGAATTGTTCCCTGGCAGGGTGGGCAGGCCCTGGCACAGGGTGCCCAGAGCAGCTGTGGCTGCCCCTGGATCCCTGGCAGTGCCCAAGGCCAGGTGGGACATTGGGGCTTGGAGCAGCCTGGGATAGTGAAGGTGTCCCTGCCCATGGCAGAGGTGGGATGAGATGAGCTTTAAGCTCCCTTCCCACCCAAACCGTTCTGGGATTCTGTGATTCGATGAAGGCACATCCCCCTTTTCATTTGCAGAAGCTTAACAAGAAATATCCTGTGTCCTGAAAAGCCTTTTCCCTTTCAGGCTGAGGTTTCTCAGGCTTTTTTCTTCCTCACAGAGGTACCAAAGGCCAAGAGTTTACACGGAGTCATCAAACACCTGCCAAGACACTCAGCCCCAACAAACTCCCATTTGCATCCCTGAACCTCACACAAAGCTTTGCCCTCAGCATTCAAACTCGCCCTAAACCCACCCTCTAATGTGTTTCAAAGAACCCCACCAAGCTGGTTTGTAAAAGCCTTTTAAACCCCCAACAGGAGAAAACAGCTGAAGGAAGGGTTTTTAACAGGCTAGTTCCCCTTTCCACACTGAGCTTTTCCCTGATATCCTTGCTCAGGTCCTGCCTTGTGGAAGCCATCAGGAGAGAAGGGGGTCATGTGGGCTGGCAGCCAGTGCCACTGTCAGCATCTGCAGGCTAAAATGGTGCCAGGTGGGCTTAGGAAACCAGGTCTAAGCCCAGTTAAGAGCTACTGGGCATCCCCTCCTACTGGAGGCCCTTGAGGACCCGACCTCCTGCAGCTCTGGGGCTTTTCTGCAAGTTCTATCCAAACAGGGAATGTTCTGTACTGGAAAGCCCTTGAAATTTCTCTTCTCTTTGGATTAAACTTGATCTCTGCAAACACTTTAAAATGAGTAATGAAAACCACGGTGGGCACAGAACTACTGGAGCAGAGGCAGAGCAAGAGTTGCTTCCCCCACAGGTTCTCTACAGAAACCATCAGGAATGGCTCAGCAATTTGGGTGTCTCCCCAAAAATGCTATCCAAATAAACTGTATCTCCAAAGGCATCTGTGGCACTGTTGAGACAGACAGACCGTGCCAAGGAGGGAGTGGAAAAGTATCCCAAGAGAATCTTCTCAGATATCCCAGAGAAGATTTACCAAAGTTCTTTCGGGCTGTGGGTTTTCCACTCCCGAGCATATGACATCATAAATTCCTGAAAGTTTACATCCTAATGGAGCTGTCATTCAGCCGGAGGTGTCTACTTTTGGGTTCTCTGGCCTTAAAGAGGTGGGAAGTGAGCTATAAATACCGTGCTCATTGCGTGTTTAACTACTGGCTAATGCTTCCCTCTCTGGGAGCTCATGGACACACTGAGCAAAATCTTTCCAGCTCCTTTGCTGTGACCACTGCATCACAAAGGCCACAGAGTTAAACCTCTTTTTACATCATCCAAAGTCAGGCTAATCCCAAAATAAACTTTCTCAACGTCTCAACGTTCCAGAAATGTCTTCTTTTTTTTTTTTTTTTCAGATCCCCAAATTGTCCCTCCAGCCTGCTGCTGCAAAAAGGCAGGAAGTAAAAGGGAGGTGATGATGACTCCACGGAGATACTAAAATCCATGTTGTTTGGTTGCTTTGGGGAGTTAGTTATCTGAACATCCATCCCTTAGAATTTCTGCTGGGAAAATATCTTTTTTTTTTTTTTTTTGGTCTGTATTTTACAACAGACAGGGTCCTGTTTCAGGACAATTTGGTCTCCAGTGAAAGGGATAAACAATCCCACTCCACATTAAACAAATGTAGAGGCCCCTGCATCTCTCTTGCTGATTGTCCAAAGCTGGCAGGCATTTGTTGATGCCTGTGCAGCTGGTTGGGGGCTGCAGATCCAAATCCTTGGGAGCGTGCTCCAGTACCTTCCCTAGCCATGGATAACTACCTAACACCCAGAGTGCCCAAGGATGAAACAAACTGCCTGAACTATCTTTCCTCCAGGAAAACATCCATTGAGGTTCTGAAGACATCAAAGAAAGGAGGTTTAAGCTCTCTAGGGTTTAGGAATCTGCCTGAAGAGAGGGAAATGGATCCTGTTCACGGAGCTGGGAACAATCCTCTTGGAGATGCACAGTGCTAAGGATGAAGGGAGCCCCAGCACCTCACCCAGGGGTCAGGAAGGGGGATGTGCCCCCAGGGAATGGTACCTAGAAGCTTCTTGCTGTCCAGTTTCTGCCTGTTCAGAGGGTTTGTGCCATAGAGCAGCGTGTGGGCTTCCGAGTGAACCGTCTGCAGCTCCTCCAGCGTCGCCTTTCTGCCACGGATGCACTACAAGGGGAAGGAAAAGGGTGGTGAAATCACTGCTGAGTGCTTGACTCTCTTTTCTGTTTCCTTAGCAAGCCATCAAGACAGACAGCAAAACACTAAAATGGGTCCTGAGGTGGAGAAATTCAGGTTTTGGGTTAATGCCTTACTCGCAACATTTATTTGCTCAACATGGAAAGTCATCTTCAGATCCATTCAAGATAAAGAAGGAAATTTTCAGACAGGTGCTGGCAGGAGGTGGTGGGGATGAAGGAAAGGTGACCAGAGAGACAAGGGAGTGCACCCTTGAAACGGCAGGGCAGAGCTTGAAGAAAGCCAGCAGGGAATTAAGGCAGAAATTTACTATTTTCAGGAAAAAAAGAAGAGTCCGGTGAGACTGAAAGTCACCAGTGGTCAGGAGAAAAATACAGCTGGAAAGCAGGGAAAGATCAACAACAGCTCCCATCGTGAGAGCAACCAAAAGTACCAAGGTAAGCATGGAAATTAAGGAAAATAAATCTTCTTTAAGGAAATCAACAGGAAATTAAGGACAATAATATTGCCGGGGATCTTACAGTCACAAACTTATACATTGGAGAACATCTCTTAACACCCATTGAGGAGGCCAGGCAATTAGCAATGAGGTTCATGTGGTCCCAAATAATCCCAAAATTCGACTAAATGGGTATCCACAGACAGAGACAGGTTTGAAAGGGATAAACCAGGGCAGGACAGGCAAATGCAGGCAATGGCAATGCTGCCACCACGTGGATGTCTTATCTGATGGTCCGGGAACATTCCCGGCCCCATCCTGACATTGCTGGAAAATTTATGCTCTGGGATTCAGCCCTCTCAGGTGCTCAAAGAATTGATGAACACACACTTATACCCCCATTTATCAACACTGCTGTTAGCTGTAACTAATAACCACTCTTAATTTTTATTATTAGCCTTCATTCTTTCTGTTTAATAAGTAAGCTTTTTCTCTCCATTTGCTTGCTCTTAAAATATATCAAATAAATCTAATTTAACCTCTTGTGATGGAATGGTGCTCAGTGCCTTCCTCCTACCCCCAAGCATAGCTTGACCATTACTTATGAAAGAGTACAAAAAGAAGTTATTAAAGCACAAGAAAAGCTGTTGCTTTTGCTGGAATAATTGGGAGGGATAACAAATGAGAGGGTTACATCATATCTTGCTCTTTTCTTTGGCATAGTAGCAATATAATAGTAATAATAATAGTAATGTAGTAATAATATTAATACTACTAATAAAACCAGGCATGTGGCCTGCTGTGGTGTTTCCCTTACCTCACACTTGCCCCGCAGCCCCGTCTCCTGGAGCCTGGACCAGATGCTCTGGATCCTGCCTGCGTGCTCAGGGTGGCTGTTGGTGTTTCCACAGGTGCACTGGTGCTTCAGCATCAAGGTGTCGTACACAAGGCCTGCAGCACAGGGCACAGAATTGCTCTCAGGTTAAAAAAAACACCACAGATTGCCAGTTTGAGGGAGAAAAAAAGGATATTTTGCACTATGGAATCAACAGTTCTAGGCCAAAACTGTGTGGGAGCCACAAGGAACTGAAAGCCCAAAGCTGCATCCACCCCTTCCCTCAAGGGAAATCCTCAAGGGATATCAGAAGCAAATCAGCACCAAGATGTGAAATGAAATGCCAGGGGGAGGTGACACCCATGTGAGCGTACAGGAATGGGATCCGGGGCTTTTCCCCTGGCTGCCAAAACGCCTCCAGGGCTTGGGAGCAAACCCAGAAGGACGGAGCGTTCCTGGCTGCTTTCACAAGCAGCTCGTGCCTTGTTTGCTAATTGCAGCCCTTAGCGCCCACCGGGGCAGCGTACTGGGCAGCACTGAGGTGCTCAGCCCAACGAGGGGCTCGGGCAGCTAAATCCCCCCGCATTCCAGGGATTTACAGCGTGACAGCAGCGCAGGAGGCTTTGATCCACACTCCAGAGTTGCCTGGGTACAATTTTGGAGGGGAAGTTGGGATTCCATAGCCAATATTCCAACCGGAGGAAAACAGCAGTTCCTCCCCAGTGACAGAAGACATTTAGTTATTTCTCTCGAGCAAAAGACATGAAGTCAAATGTTGAAATCCATCTTTCCTTCAGCCAGAAGCTCCAGAAAACAGAATACAAGTGGTTGGTTTGGGGTTTTTTCCCCAAGAAAAGGGTTTCTTGCAGGAAGTATCTGTATGAAAGTTGGTCCAAGGGCTGAAGCCCCTCTGCTGGGAGGACTGGGGGTGCTCACCTGGAGAGGAGAAATGAGGACAGGACACAGGGAATGGCTTCCCACTGCCAGAGGGCAGGGATGGATGGGATATTGGGAATTAGGAATTGTTCCCTGGGAGGGTGGGCAGACCCTGCCACAGGTTGCCCAGAGAAGCTGTGGCTGCTCCTGGATCCCTGGAAGTGTCTAAGGCCAGGTTGGAGCAGCCTGGGCTAGTGTAAGGTGTCCCTGCCCATGGCAGAGACTTAAAACCAGATAACCTTTCAGGTCCTTTTCACCCCAAGGTTTTCCATGATTTCTATGGAATGCAAAGGTCTAGATCAGAATCCAAAGCCTCTGAAGGCAGCAGTGGCAGAAGCCAGTCCCAGCCCCCAATGTCCAAGGATGTGCATCCCAGCTGAGAGCACTGCGGGGAAATCCCAGGCGATCACACCCACAGCTGGATCCGTGCTCCCAGCTCCAGCACGGACACACAGCACAACCTGGGAGCTCCAAGGGGCTCACAGGGAACCCTGAGAGCAGCTGGAGCTGGGGCTGAGCTCCTGCACACTGCCAGGCCTGGCTGCAGCTGCAGTCCCACCTCCTGGCTGGGTGTGGGCACGCTGTGCCACCGGGAATCTTGGCTCCCTGCTCTGGCCCCGGCTCTTGCAGGGCTGCAGCCTCAGGGGAGGTGTCTGGCAGCTCCTTGCTCTGCTGTAGGTGAGAGCAGAGGGAAAAAACACCCCCCCAAAAGCCAAACCACCATGGGTTCCAGGGAGAGAACAGAGCCCTGGTAATTGGCTGCCCTTGGGTCAGCCTGAGTTCACCTGGAGGTTGTGCTGCAAAGCTCTCTCAAGGTCTCCCGTGTTTGAGTCACAGCATCAAACACCACCAGGAGCTGCTGGGGCAAGGCAAGCTCAGAATTCACCTGAGGAGAAGCTTTCACCCCAGTCTGAGTTTAACTGAACTAGTGCAAGGTCTTAAACTAAAAGAAATTTAGACTGCATTCATGGAAGAAATTCTTCTCTGTAAGGGTGGTGAGGCCCTGGCTGTCCCATCCCTGGAAGTGTCCAAGGTCAGGATGGACAGGGCTTGGAGCAGCCAGGGATACTGTGAGGTGTCCCTGCCCATGGAAATGGATCATCTTCAAGGTCCCTTCCAACCCAAACTGCTCAAGGAACCTATCCCACCTGGTGTTCACAGACCTTGCTTCATCAATGGTTTCTCCTTTCCCAGGGGTTCACTGATAACAGCAGTGTCAATCACTCATCATTTCTCTTTCCTAGAAACCAGCCCAGTTGAAAAGGGAGCTGTTCCCAATTCCTTCCTGTGGCTGGGGACACTCAGCTGCAGAGACACACACACACACACACACACACACACACACACACACACACACACACACTCACACAAAGGGAAGCTCGTCAATTTAAGCTCAAAATACAAAACTACACTGGCTCTTACAAGTTAATTGAAGTGGTGCTGGAAGCAAGACTCTTTTCAGACATAAGAACAATAATTTTTAAAGGTCAGCACTAAAGCAAAACCAACTGGCTTTTCTTGGCAGAACAAACATATGATCTGAGGTTCAGATAATTATATTGCTCTGCACAGGAGAGAATAAATGCCTTCATCAGAAAGGAAAAACCCTTTAATGCAGAACATCAGAATAATGTGTGGACCCATTTTTACAGGAGATCAGAGACTGGATAATTGGAGCTATGCAAATTAATGGCCTAACCCGAGGATCCTTATTCAAGTGCATAGAACAGGGCAGGCACGAGTATTCATTAAAGTGGCAGGGGCTGCTGGAGCTAGAGAGGGCAAGTTCAAGGACCTGCTTTCTGGGAGGAAGGAAAATTAAGTGTCATGCTTTGGGACATCAAACTGATTGCTGGAAGGATCCAGGAAGGGCACAGCTCTCCCTTTGATGTGGAGTAATGGGCATCATGTTGGAGAACTGCAGGATGTGGCTCTTTGCCCCGGACCTTTGAAGTCTCAGGTGTTGGTCACTGAGAGAGACAGGAAAATAAAATATACATCAACCCTAGAACTTCCAGCTGTCTGGAGCTAACTCCTTGGGGTTAAGTCCAGGGAGAGCATCAGCTCTCTGTATTATTTCTGTATAATATACCAAACATGAAAAGGAGGAACAATTCCTCTCTCTGTTGGACAATGACTGCTCTCTTAAGGGCCACGTCCACATCCAGAGTGATCACAGTTGGCTTAATTAGGGCCATTCAATGAAGTTTGCTTCTTGCAGCCCTCTCACCAAACCATCACACCAATTCCAATCCTCATTCCTCTGCCTTAGGATCAGTATGCAAAGCACTTATCAGCCAGATGGATTTTCCTCAGGAAAAAGAAGCCTGATGCACTTCAGCACTACTTGCTTTTGAAAAACACCCAAGACTTTAATTTCCTGCCTTCCACAGAACAGCTCAATCCTGGTGATTAAGCTTTAGTATCCACCTCCAGAAACACAATCTCTGACACGCCACCGTGGACAACTCCAACAAAACATGAGGCAATTTAACTCACACATGCTCAGCAGCTGAAATGCCTTTCCTCCCCTTTCTCCTGCTTCCATGCCCATGGCAGTGGGCTTTTTTCCCTTGCTTCTCCTATGCAGACAGTGCAGGTTAATTAAAGCAGACCTAGGACTAGTTTTAGGACTAGTACAGAGGCCTTACCTTTATGCTTTGCACCTTAATTAGTGCCAGCGAAAGCCTGATTTTATTGTGTTTTTCCTTCTCCATTCACCCAGCATAAATGCAGAGATTGAAGGAAAAAGAAAAGTCAAACCTTTGGAATCTTAATGTGGAAAAATGTTGTGAAAATGGTATTTTACAGGTGAACTACCTGCACCTCATCACTCTGTGCACTTTTTTAGTTTTCCAAACCCTGCCTCTGAGGAAAATAAATCCTGATATTGGAACAGCATCTTTTCCAAGCAGCACAGCTCTCAAATCTGCATTCTTACTGCTGCCTGCAATTTTGAATGAAATTCAGAGGCACAGATCTGAGTCAAACATAGATCCTCTGCTAGGAAATGCTATTTATTTGTATGTTCAGAGTCTTGCATGTGATTGATTGGGCAGCTTCAATACCAGCAGAGGAGGAGGAGGGAAGAAAGAGAAGGAATGAATAATCCCTTCAAGCAGGGCCAGGCTTCCTTGTTTTTAAAGCCCCAAGGTTGGGGTTAAGTGTATTAGAAGCTCAAGTTTCATCTGCTCTGACCCTGAGCCAGGGGACTTTTCCTCGCACCCTTGGCAAAAGCCAAAATCTTTTAATCTGGCCAGAACCAACTGCATTTGAAATGCAGTTGTGCTGAAATTCTGGGTTAAACATTAAGAACAAACAGGGACTTTAAAGGGCAGATTTACAAAACCTGAGCTATTCCCTGGGTTTTTCCAGAACTGACAGCACATACTTCCCACCCTGCCTGCAGCCAGGAGCTGAGGAACACTGAACATGCCACTATTACTACAGCACCAGGGCCTGAAAATAAACCCAATTCACAGCACTGAGCTGCGTGATGCAAGAAGTGTAGGTTAAAAATGGAATAAAAGCAGAAATGAAAGGGAAGTAACATCATGAGTCGCTCTTATTTGGGCGTCGTGGATTCCCCTCCCCCACCTCCCTTTTCCTTCTCCCAGGGAACACATCATGTTGCAAACTGCTCATTCACAAAGTAAAAGCCTGACATTTGCGGAAGAAGGCAGACTTTAAAATCAGCCCTTATCACCCAACACAGGGCTTGAGGAGTCGCAGGGAAAATCAGCTTTCAGCTGTTGCTAAGGGCACTGAAGAAGCAGAAAGGATTTTGGAGTAGAAAAGTTGGCTGTCAGGATACAGGAAGAACAATTAAGTTTTTTTGCTTTAAATCTTGGTGGGGAGATCACAGAATCCCAGAGTGGTTTGGGCTGGGAGGGACCTTGAAGCCCATCTTGTTCCACCCCCACCATGGGCAGGGACATCTTTCACTGTCCCAGGCTGCTCCATCCTGGCTGTGAACACTTCCAAGGGATGGGGATCAACACCTATTTTGCACTTGTGCTTTCCATCACACAGGATTGCACTCATCATTTTCCTCCACAAACACCCTTTGGTCTCTTTGTCTCCTCAAGACAAGTTGAAATCAAGTTGAAATCACCAACTCACTTCGTTTTTCCCAACCTGCAGGCACAGCCTCCTGTGCAACAAGAGGAGGGGAGGCTGGCAGGGAGCCCAGTGGATAACTGATGGCATGAGGCTATGGAGGACTGGAGAAGGTGGAGGAAACAGAGCCAGCATTGCATTAGGCACTCTGTCTTTCAGGAGTACTGGCTTTCCCTGCCTTGCCTCTAAATCAGCTCTGTCACAGCCTGGGACTCGCTCTGTGTGCCTGGACACAGAGCCCCAGGGCTGTGCTGCTGCTGCTGCTGCTGTGTGTGTGCAGGGTGGTTTTGCTCAGCAGAAGGGATGAGCAGGACAACAGGGATGACTCAGTGTGCTCCCCGAGGAAGGCAGGATGTAATGGAGTACCCAAATGGGGATGAGACGCAGAGCTCACGCTTACAGATTTGCAGGGACAGAGAAGAAAGTCAGAGAATCATCACCATGGAATGGTTTGGGTTGGAAGAGACCTTGAAGCTCACCTCAGGGGTAGGGCAGGCACACCTTCCACTATCCCAGGCTGCTCCAAGTCCTGTCCAACCTGGCCTTGGACACTCCCAGGGATGGGGCTGGCACAGCTGTTCTGGGCAACCTTACCACCCTCACAAGGAAGGATTTCCTTCCAATATCCCATCTAACACTACTCCCAGCCTACAGCCATTCCCTCTTTTCTGTGCCCTCACAGAACAGCTCTGTGTAAAACAAACCAGTCACCAGATCCCCCCACAGCCCAGAGCCCCCAAAAAGCTCACCTGTTGTGAACCTTGGCTTAGTGGGTGGCTCCTGCACGGACATGGGGAAAGTGGCTGAGGCAGGGGAGGACTGTGCCCGGGACAGGGGTCGGTGTCCCCCGAAGGACACGGGCATGCCAGCTGCCTCCAGCGACGCCTGGTAGTTCCTCAGCTGGTGAATCCGCTGCTGCTCCAGGAGCAGGGCTTGCTGTGGGCAAGAGAAGCAGGCAGTTGCTGAAAGGGCCTTCCCAAAAGAGTTTTTGAAGGCTCTCAGGCTTGGACTCCTTTCCCCTGCGTGCAGCAAAGGAAGATGTGACATTTCTAGAGCCAAGTCAGACAGGCACAACACATGGAGCCCCAGCCTGAGCCTGGTGCACACTGACAGAGTCATTGCCAGGGGCAGCTCCATCTCCCCCCACAGCTCCCTCATCTTCCTCCTCCTGTGCTCCCACCCCACTGCTCTGGGACAATAAACAGTGAAACAGCCCAGGCCATGGAACGAGTCCCACTCAACTGGATCCCAGGCTGGAGAGGGAGCTCTTAGCTGAGCTGGTTCTCTGTGCAGCCACACCATGAGCTGGACAGGCTCCTGGGCAGAAGGGATGGCTGTTCCATCCCATTCCCTCTGTAAATTCCCTCCTGCTCTGAGGCAAAACAGTTGCAAAGGAGATACTATTTTAAAGACACCTGAGGTGTGACCATGGATTCAGGATTAAGGTGGAGAGGTTCCACCTTCAGAGGAATGGTATCACTGACAATGGTCCATCATCAGCAACACAGAATTAGAAAATCCCAGGATGGCTTGGGCCTTAAAGCTCATCTCTGCCATGGCCAGGGACACCTTCCCCTTATTCCAGGTTGCTCCAAGCCCCATTCAACCTGGCCTTGGACACTTCCAGGGATGAGGTGGCCACAGCTTTCCTGGGCAAATGTAGCTCCTCAGCAACATCTCAATGACATTCCTGAAGGACATGGACCAGCTCTATTACACTGTGCTTCCTTGTTACTGGATTTATCACTTGCAATCCACAAGCCTCAGGTGTTTTGCCTCAAAAGCGACCCTGGCTGGAGGCTCACCGAGGCAGGAACACCCTCCACTTGTCCCCTGCTCCCTTATGTGCAGTCTTTCTCTGGAGAAATCAGTTTTAAATCATTAAACCAAAATACAGTCTCCTACTGGTGGCTAGTGCTCAGAAATGTTAGGATAGACTTTATCTTCCTAAAGAAACACCCATAGAAGTGTTTCAGTGGCTCAATAAACACAGCGACTGTGTTTTGTGCAGGTGATCCACAGACTCTCCTCCCCGGGGTTTGCCAGCTGGCAGGTGACTCCAGGGAAGGAATCACCTGAGTTTAAACTGGGTTCCTGTAACCAGCCAACCCTCGGGAGCTATTTCCCCTCAGAATAGCACAAGGCGACTTCCAAGCCCAAATCCACGTCTTACAACAACCCAAGCGCCAGACCTGGCGGAAGAGCAGCTCCTGCTCCGCCTGCCTCTGCCCGGGCTCCAGCTCCTGCTGCGCCTCTGCCTCCTCCTCGTCGCTCTCGATGGGCTCCTGCTTGACCTGCACCACGCTGGCCAGCCCCGCGGGCTCCTTCTGGCCCGCGGCCCGCTCGCCGTAGGGCTCCTCCAGCAGCGCCTGGTGCTCCCGCAGCTCCTCCTCCGTCTCCTCGGGGTGGCTCTCGTGCTGCCGCGCCGGCTCAGCGGGCTTGGAGATGATCTGAAAGAGCCCCAAACTCATCAGAGAGCTGCCTCCCACCACGGGGAACGCTCAGAGCTCTGCTCTCCGGGCTCACGGGAAGGAGCAGTTCTGAGTTATTCCGTCTCACAATCCAAAACAAAGCAGGGAAAGGTCAGGGTAACCTTGGTGTCGAGGGCTCTGAAATCCCGTGTCCCCAGTAATGACATCCCCCTTATTTTCCACTTCATCCTCTCTCTGAAGGAATAAGAACCTCTTGTTCCTGCACACCTCCAGATGCTACTCCATTCACAAACCCGCAGAGCAACCATCGAGATGTTTGGCAATTAAATTCTGAAAGAATAGGGAGGACACAAACCCTCTAACAGGGTTTTTTCTGCCTGTTTGCTCAACATCACCTTGACTCACTCCCTGAATTTTTTCTGTGAGGCTGAAATAATGATTACGTGAAAATCTGTACTCTTATGGAGCTGGTTAAGAGGAAACTGAGGACATGCAGCTGAGAGCAAACCTCAAGAGTGGCATTGTTCTAACCTGACCTTCCTAACCAGACACAGTAAATGTCTCGGAGAGGAGCTCCTAAACCTAAAGGAAGAATTTAGTTTTCACTGTAATTCACACAGGCTTTTTTTAAGTTCTTTGGCAAGATAAAATTCACAGTTCTCTGTCTCAGACTGCTTATGATTCTTATTTGGGATATAAAAAAACCCCCAAATGTGACCTGTTTTTAACTCCAGCGTAGGAAAACCAATCCATTTCCTCCCTTTCGAAGACCTAAGGCTGCCCCTGTTTCACAGGCTTATAAAGAAACTGCCGCACTTTGAAAGTTGTCAGGGCAAGGTTTAACGAGGATTAGGTCATTGGTATGGTAAGCAATATTGATTTTAAATCTAATAAAGCTAAATCAAAACATGGTTATTGAACACATGCAGGAGGAGGGACTATTTGTCAGTAACTTGCTCTTTGAAGAACACTGGCTCCAATCTGGAATTAAGCCTTTTTTCTCCCAAAAGCAGGAAGGAAGGCTCTGCCATATAACCTAAGCAAGGCAGAGGGGCAGGAATGGAGTTGAATCTGGCAAGGGACATGAAGAAAGACAAGAAGAAGGCTAAGGAGATCCTGATGCCACTGAATGAGGGAAGGCACCTGGTGGCACACAAGATAGAAGTAATGCCTTATTTAAGACAATCCTTCAAGAATCCCAGGATTCTGACACCAGAGGAAAAGTCTCAAATAAGGAAAACTTCCCTTGGTGAAGAAACTACCACTTAAAACACCTGGATATCCCTAAGTCTACAGGACTCTCATGGGTTGCACTCACAGGTGATGGGATAGGAGGCCATGGGAACAAACTAAAACCATTTAAATTCCTTCTGAATGCAATAAAACTTTTTTTTTCTTCCTGTGAGGGTGGTCAAACACTTGAACTGGTTTTTCAGAGAGGTTCTGGAGTCTCCATCCTTGGAGATCCTTGGGCAACCTGTAAGAGGAGGGACATTGTCCTCAGTGACCTCAGGAGGTCCCTGCAAAGATTCAGGGATCAAAACCCCTCAAGGATTTTTGTGAGGTTCCGCCCCCCTCCCCCCCAAAGTTTAATTCCTTATAACACACACTGAATAACCAAACCACATTAAGCTGAAAGTTCTTCCACTAATTTTCTTTAAGCCCTCTTAGGCTTGATGAATATTATCTGTTTTAAAGATAATTAAATTATCATAAACCATCTGCTGCTTGGTTTTGTTTTTTTTCCCCTGCTTGGATCGAAGGTCTCAAGCTTTTGAACTTAATGCCTTTTGAACTTCTGAACTGCACAAGGTAATTGCTGGGAAAAATAACTTAAGAGTGCCATTGTCATAGCTAATGGGAATGAGAGGCAGGGTAATTCCCTGGAAGTTTTAAATTATTCCTACTCCTTAAAAATGTAAGAATTAAATGACAACCACGGTGAAGGCTGAGAAGACCAAGTGGTGGATGGCAAGGACATTTCAGACATTCTGTCTGCAAAGGGAATCTCCTGGTCTGCCACTAGTTCCAGTTGTTGCAACCCCACCCTTAAAGGAAGATTTTGCAGAGAAGACACTTTCTTACCAACAAATTCCACATAAAACACTCAGTATCTGCATGCCAGGCCCATCCAAACTCCCTAAAAATCTTCCATTTGTGCAGTTTTACGAGCACGTGCTCATGCAGTTTAAAATCTGAGGGAATAAAAGTGCGAGGAGCTGGCTGTAACGGCAGCACTGAGAATGCTTGTAAATATATCTGAAATAGTAAGCACAGAGCACCATAAATAACCTCTCCATCCCTTAATTAGCTCTCTGGCTTCCTCTGCCACGAGGTTACTCCTCTGTTTTCATATCCAGTGGCCTCTGGCTGTCACAAGCTGCCACCATAAACCTCTGGTAAAGGCACTGCCTCTCCAGCCTCGGGCAGACAGCAACTTCACTCCGGAATAAATTACAGCTCTCTAGTCACAAGCATTTTTCATTTTTAAAAGGCTCCATGCAGCTGGCAAGATTTCTCCTCCACAGCTTTGAAACACAAAGAATAGAAATTAAATTAAAACAACCAAAAAAAAAAAAAACCCACCTCCAAAACCAAACCAAACCAAACAAAAAAAAAAAAAAAACAACCCAACAAAAAACAACAACAACAACACATCAAAACCTGGAAAAAACAAAACAAAAGAAAAAAAAAAAAGATCCAAAAAACAGCACAGCAAAAAAAAGTCATAGCAAAGTCAGGTCATAAATACAGGAGAAACCAAAGAGTTCATAATTTTTCGGTGGGACATTTCATGAGGGGAAAAAAAGCTGCATTTTTCGCTAGTGACATTTCAGCTGGTGTTGGATTTGTCCAGTACATGTGATAAACAGAACCACAGAATCATTAAGGATGGAAAAGACCTCCAAGACCATCAAATCCAAACTCTGAGCATTGCCATGCCCATCACTCCACACCATCTTCTCCAGGACACCTTTCTCCACAGTGGCAAATTCCTGGGACACCGAAGACCTTGAAGGTCCTACCAACAGGTTAGAGACATCTATTTACAAATCAAGAGATCAGTGAGGAGTCTTCAGCAGAAAAACCAAGAAAAACCATGGAATCCCAGAATGGTTTGGGTGGATGGGACCCCAGTCCCCATCAGAGGGACAGGCAGAAAGGCAGAGGAAGAGAGAAGCCAGGAAGCAAAGGAGGATGTCAGCTCAGCCCTGACCATGCCAGGATGTGCAGAAGCCAGCAGAATGCTCCCTTTCCTCCCTCTGGAGGTGAAGGACAAACTCAAGGAAGAAACAGAACAACTCTTGGACAGCTGGAGACACAGCTTTGATGAAAATGAGTAAAAAAACAGGAAAAAAAAAAAGGATGATAATGGTTGAACTCGTTCGACTCGACGTTGCTCTTCCCACGTTCCCTTTGGGTTTTTATTTTTAACTTTTATAGACTAAGGAGAAACAAGAGATGATAAGGGGATGGGAAGAGGCCAACTTGGGCCCCAGAGTACCTGGCAGAGCCTTCTGCAGCAGCGAAAGCCTACAGAAATCTCTTGATCTGGTTTTTTTTTTGCCCCTGAAGCAATGTGACAGCAGGGGAAAAACAATTGTCTGAGGCAGCCTGTCCTACAGCTGGAAGGACCAGGAGGCTGTGGAGCTTTTGTGCCTGGAGGAGAGGGAACAACCTGCATGGCTGGATGGGGCTTGGAGCAAAGCTTCTTCTGATATTACAAATCACAGAATCCTTAAAGTTGGAAAAGCTCTCTCAGACCATTGAGTCCAACTCTTCCCCCAGCACTGCCAAACCCACTGCAAACCCTGTCCCCAAGTGCCACATCCACAGGTTGTCTGAACACTTCCAGGGATGGTGACTGCCTGGGCAGCCTATGCCAGTGCCTGACCACCCTTTCAATGCAGAAATTTTTTCTGATCTTTTCCAACCTAAACCTCCTCTGGCACTTCCCTGTCAAACATTAAACATGCAAAAAAGGTGGGAAACAGAAGCACAGGCTGATGGTGGAATATCAGCTCAGTGAGAATCCCAGAATGGTTTGGGTTAGAAAGGATCTTAAAGTTCATCCCATTCTACCCGTGCCATGAGCAGGGACACCTTCCACTGTCCCAGGTTGCTCCAAGCCCCATCCAGCCTGGCCTGGGACACTTCCAGGGATCCAGGGGCAGCCACAGCTGCTCGGATGCTTATTCTTAATATTTTCATGTAAAACAACACATTTTTCCTTAGTTGCTTTCCTGGAAACAGCAAGACTTGTTTTGGCTGCAGTCCCCTCAAAAATTTCATCTGCTGCAGACACCTAACAGGGAACGCTTAGGGCCAAAATCTAAATGTTTGGAAAATCACATGGAATTAAGAAAAGCTGATTTATGAGTATATAAATATATAAAATACTTCAGGAGTGTTATTTACGGGAAAACCGCAAATAAAAAAAAATAACAGGCAGTGCTAGCGGTCCTGTTAATAATTAAATAATCTTTTATTTTATTTTTAGTCCTGCCCTTAACTCTCCTAGACACAAGAGTCCTAAAATATCCCCAATCTGGGAAAAGTCTTTTCCCATGTCAGCACTTGGATGCTATCCCATGGGATAAATCCGCCACACACACGCAGCACTAGCACTAAAGTGATTCTAACTCATGACTCCTATAAATCAAACACAGGGAAATCAGTTTAATTAAACCCTCTCTGACTGATTTTGCTGTGGAGAGAGATGGACAAAGCTGGAAGTCAGAGTGCTCCAGTGGCTCTCCAGCTCCTGGGAGGTCCAGGAGAAAGTCTGAATGAGCTCAGTGGATACGTCACATCCAAGGCTTTGGAAAAGCTTTAAAATCCTTCACGCAAAAAATCCCTTCAGCTGACAACTTCCCTGAACAAAGAACCTCAACTGGCTGCCCCGCACTCCATGGCCCTGGTCCCAGAGAATGTTTGGAGGGGGGAGGAAATGGGATCCTTGTGGAGCAGCAGCTCCCCAGGGCCCCATGTGCGGGGCTGAGCTGGGGCCAGGGCTGGCACCCGTGGTGGCAGCGCTCCAGGAGGACAGCATTGACGTCAGTGACTTGTGTAATCATCCTGCCTCAGCCCGGCCCGTACACAAGGGTTTGGGGGTGGTGTGTGTGGAGGGGGGTTGTGGCTTCTCCCACTCTTTGATCCAGCCCTTGGCAGTTGTGTTTTCTCACAGGACTGGAACGGTGGAAATACTTGGAGGAACCTCTGCCGTAAATGAAACAGCAGCAATCTGAACGGCTGCCTGCCACGGGCTTGTCCTGAGCCCCGGACCTGCTGCTGGAATTACTGCTGTCCTAAGGAAAGCCTCCACTGGAACTCCTTGGGAGGAGTGTTTAGAAAGCCTCAAAACAGAACAAATCCCAGAATAGTTTGGGTGGGATCTTAGAGATGATGCAGTTCTATTCCCTGCCATGGGCAGAGACACCTTCCTCTAGCCCAGGCTGCTCCAAGGCCCACCCAGCCTGGCCTCCCCATCCTCACAGGGAACAATTCCTTCCCGATCTCCCATCCATCCCTGCCCTCTGCAGTGGGAAGCCATTCCCTGTGTCTTGTCTCTTCACGCCTTGTCCCCAAGTCCCTCTCCAGCTCTCCTGAGCCCCTTTAGGCACTGGAAGGGGCTCTGAGCTCTCCCTGGAGCCTTCTCTTCTCCAGGTGAACTCCCCTAAGTCTCTCAGCCTTTCAGCAAATGTTTCAGGGTTTCAGGTAACTTCCCTCACAACTACATCCTGGTGTTGTCATGCCTGAGAGAGTTCCAAGCATGAGAGGCCCAAGGATGTTGGAGGTAGAGCCCACAAATACACCTGCACTAGAGACCGCGAAATCATGAGGCCCCACTTGAGGCTGCTGTGGAAGAAAAAAGGCATTGAAAGCTCTGTGCCTACCTTGTTGATGTGCAGCTGCTGCTGCTGGAACTGCTGTTTGTGTTTCTCCAGGAACTGCTGGTGCTGCTGCTGGATCACCAGCTGCTGCAGGGCCTGGGCGTTCTGGGGCAGGGGAGCAGACTGGGTGCGCCCGAGCGGGCGGTGCTGCCGCAGCTTGTGGATCGAAGGGGAGACCCTGTCTCCACCCACCAGGGGCTGTGCGTGCAGGGGCAGTCCTGAAAGATACCAGTCTGAAGATAATATGGAGGAAAAAACAGCAGAGGAGAAACAAAAGGAAGAAGAAAGGAAGGGAGAAAATGGCTGTTGAGTAATGCTGACGGTGACAGTGATACCATGCCAAACCCAGCCACCTCGCCATCTACAGCTGGAGCTGCCTTGAGAGAGAGCAGATAAATTAACCACCACTGCACAGAGCAATGCTTTGCTTGGTGTGAGCTCTGTGTCTGCCTGCTGACTCAGAGACCTTCTGGAAACATCTGATTTCTTGAAACCAGCAACACCTTACTGACCTTTCTGTTGCTACATGAGACCACAGTGGTCTGGAGTTTAAACCTCACAGCTCACCTTGGTTTGGGGACTGATCCCAGGTTCAATTCAAGCTGCAGGAACCAGCTGCCTCCCTGGCATGGCTAGGGCTGCAGTCACTTTTGGGCAAGAAGCCCTCTGCTCTCCTCAGGCTTTGGTTTAGGAGAGGGAGAAGCTGCCCAGATGTCTGCAGCCAGCTGGATGCTGAGGATTAGAAACACCTTGGCATTTGTGTCCCAGGATGTGACCTCCTTTCCCACCAATTCACAGAAATGCCCTACGTGGAAGGAGCTGACTCATGGGAAAGCCTCTTTTCTCAGCAGGCTTACAGAGTTTCTCCCACTCTCTGCTTTTTCTGAAAGGGATCATGTGAAAGGGTATTTGATTTTATAAATGCATGTTTCTGCAGATGTCAGCGTGTGCACACACACAGGTCTGCGTATGAATACACGGATAATTGGGAAAGATGTGTTCCTTTTCCCTGAGAGCACAGCTGCTCCTCCCAAAAGTTCAAATCAGACAGCAGAGCTTGCAGAGGATATTTTGGAAGACTACGTTCCTCCAAGGCAATGGCCAAGGTGCTCCTGGGAAAGCTTTCCAGTAGACACCATGTTCACAGAATCCTGGAACGATTGGGCTTGGGGGGGAACTTAAAACTCATGTCATTCCCCCCCCTGCCATGGGCAGGGACACCTTCCACTATCCCAGGCTGCTGCAAGCCCTGCGTATGTTCCATCAGGGATAAGGAACATCAGGACATGTACTACAACATGGAGAATACTACCCAGAGTAACCATTCCCAAGAGGAATGGCACAGGAATTCTAGTCTAGCTTCCCAAACTGGCCATGTCTACCTTCCAGCCCAGAGAGAGCCAGCATGGCCAATTCTGCAGCTGTCAGGGGAACACCTCCAGAGCTCAAGGCTCTCCAGCAGAATCCTAATAAACTCCATTTTATTTCCAAGGAGTTTCCAAATATTAGCTGCAGCTTGGCAGCCGGTACACTCAAGGCTTTGGGGACCACGTGTGAGCTCGCTGCCTCTCAGCTGCTGCCTCTGGAACGTGTATTTCTCCTTGTTTCTCTGTGCTGACTCCTTCTCCTCAGTGCTGGGCTGTAACATATTGTACTCGCTCGGAAAGCCCCGCACGGAGCAGGTGGAGTAGAAGGAATTTGCTTGGAAGCAAACACAGTATGCAGGAAACTGAAGGGAGCAAACAGCACACTTCTCTGCATCAGCCTCCCCATATCTGTGTGCTCCCAACCCCGTGGACATTCCTGGAGTCTGGATGTACAACCAGCCATGAGCTGCAGGGGCTGACACCTCCCAAGAACTTCCAATAGAAATGGAAGGAAGGGAAGGAAAACCAACATGTCAGCAACTGAGGCAGAACATCCTTTGTCCCAGCACCACACACAGGAAACCAGGAATGCATCCCAGTGGGAATTAATGCTTTAAATCCAGCTTATTTATAGCCACAGGCCTTCCCACAGGTAGCTCATTGTGAAACCCAGCACCGCGAGTGACTCACGGCAATTACCATCCTGGAAAGGGAACGCACACAAACATATACAATCTGCTGGGAGGCAGCTGCTTTTGCCATGGTTTTGCTATTTATATTAATGATGGAAAGGAAGTGTTTTAACCTGTGATTTTCTAAGTGCGTGCCTTTCATACTTTCATGGAATAGAAACCATCCATGGAAAACAGGAGTCGTTAAGATGCAATGTTTTTGCCCTCACTTTGATCTGAACTGGTCAAATAGAGTTCTCAACTTTTATCAACCAACCCTTGCTGTCCTGATGGAATAACACTATTTTCATCTCATCAAAATGAGGTGGGAGATCCGATTGTGGAAAAATCACCACCAATCAATGAATCAACAAACCAAGGTTTTATGTTCTACCTGCAGGATGCATAGGTGATGCAGGACCTAGAGGCTGCCTTGAAAACAACCCAACAGATCCCTGCTGGTTTGCTCTCTTTTCCAGGTGCTCGAGTGCTGCCCCTGGAGTGCTCACCTGTGACCAGGGGTGTTTGTGCAGTTGGCTGTTCCAGTAGGACCATGTGCTGCAGGAGAGGGTTGTGTGCAGTTCCCCCATCCCTCTCCAACGTTGTAGTGCTCAGGTAGGGAGTGAGGTGAGTGCCAGGGAATAAGGAGATCCTCTGCTGTAAGGCTGGGATTGCGAGCCTCTCCGCGTCCTGCTGCGCTTGTCCTGCCTGCAAACACACGGGGCACAGGGGGTTAGGAGACATCCCAGAGGCTGATCCCAGCCCCACTGACAGTCCAGAGGCTGATCCCAGCCCCACTGACAGTCCAGAGGCTGATCCCAGCCTCAGTGACAGCCCAGGGGCTGATCCCAGCCCTGATGACATTGCAGAGGCTGATCCCAGCCTTGCTGCCATTCTAGAGGCTGATCCCAGCCCCACTGCCATCCCAGAGGCTGATCCCCTGCCATCCCAGAGGCTGATCCCCACCCTGCTGCCATCCCAGAGGCTGACCCCAGCCCCACTCACGCTGGAAGGGCCGGTGGCAGGCAGTCCTAGCGTGATGTTGGGCAGGGAGGGTGAGGTGTAGAGCGGGAGCTGCGTCACGGAGCCCTCGCGGTTCACGAGCCTGTGAGCCAGGCTGGTCTGGAAAGGAGAGGGAGAACAGGGCCCTGGTGAGAGCCCATCCCCAGAGCCCATCCCCAGGACACAGCACTCACCAGGACAAGGCAGCAGGAGGGGACACAGAGTCTCCAGAACTGCACAGACAGCCCAACAATCCCAGCCTGGGCATCCCTGGGAGCATTGTTCAAATGTTCCTCAGGCTCTGGCAGCCTGGGGCTGTGCCCTTTCCCTGGGGAGCCTGGGCAGTGCCAGCACTCTCTGGGGGAAGAACCTTTTCCTGATCTCCAACATAAACCTCCCCTGACACAGCTACATGCTATTCCCTTGCTACTTGCCCTTCTCAAGCATTTGCCTTTTTAAAGGTAAAACCAATTATCTTTAAAAAAAAAGAAAGAAAAGCTTTACAATTGTTTTTCTCTTTAGCAAATAACAGACAATTTATGTTATTTACTAGCGTGTGTTAGCATAAATCAGACTTAAAAATCTCATCCAAAAGCCTCAAGGTTGCATTTATGGAGCTATTTCCTGATTTTCAGGGTGAAATGCAAGATTTGCTCAGTTATCTTACAGGCATTTGAAGCAAGAACACTTTAGCAAAAATACCTTTAATTTCTAAACAAGACTGATTTGAAATACTCAATAGAAAAGCCATTATAAAAATTACAATAAAGTGCCTGATTCTCCTGTTAGGAAACCGATGTTCTGATCACCCTGAGGTCTCTGCGGGTGATTTTCCAACATAAATAGAATTTAGACTTCAAGAAGGTTTCTACAGAAGCCTGTTAAATTCAGGTGCTGCTGTGAAAAAGGGGGATTTTGTTTAACTCAATATTTTATTATAGGGCAATCTGCACCTAAGTCGTGGCTGTCCCATCCCTGGAATTGTTCAAGGGCTGGCTGTTCCACCCCTGCCATGAGCAGGGACACCTTCCACTATCTCAGGGTGCTCCAAACCCAAAATCCAGCCAACCATGTACACTTCCAGGGATGAGGCAACCACAGCTTCTCTGGGCAGCCTGTGCCTTATTTTTAACAGATTCATTGTAAAAAAACCTTCATTTTTCTCTCTAAAGTGACTCTCCATGTGATTATTTGTACCCACACACTTCTCCTTCCAAGTGATTTCTGAGCACTCCTGGCAATTTTGCTTTAATTTAAATTACATAATGTCAGTGTGCCATTGAAAATAAGATACCTATTGTCAGCAAAGGAATGAAATATTTTACTGATATCACGAATGAAACAAAACTACACTAATTTTCCCTTTGAACAATCAATACTCTGGAGTTGTGCCTCAAAGCCTCTCCTGGGGGTTTGATGTAGAAAACAGAGGAGAGACGAACACAGCAGCTTGATGCTCTGAGCATATGGGATTTGGCAGCATTATCATCCCCACTTTAAACACACAGCTCCCATCTCTGGGCTGAATTGCACACAGCCATTTCCCAATGCACGGTCTGCAGCCGTACTCCAGGAGTTTTTACAGCCTAGTACCAACTACAATGGCAATGAATGTTGTGTGCCTTTCAGAGAGGGAAAAACCTTTAAAAACAGTATTTCAAAACAGAAAGTGTCTGCTCCAAAAGAGGCAGGGCTGCAGTCTTTCCCCATTGAAGACACTCAAATAATGAACTTGGGCACCATCTTCCAGCACACCTGGTTCAAGGGCTGATGCAGCAAACTTAGGAGCAGTGAGATGTACTTCTCATTTAAAATGAAACATGAAGCTAAGAATGCAACACAGCATTATCTTCTCAGAAACACTCAAATATTTCCAAACATTTAATGGTGGGAACATGGGAAATCCTGGTTATTTTGGTATTAAAGGAATCTCCAACACCTGAGCTCCCAGGTCATACAACTCATATTGAAGAAGAGAATTTTAAAGACACCAAGCCCCAGGTTTTTTTTTTTTTTTCCAAAATACAGGCCAATGCATCAGCTGGGATCACATGACATGAATGCTGAAATAAAAAGCAGAGTTATTTTTCTTTGGGAAAGGGAAAGGCTTGGGCAGGACAGGGTTTTTTTCCCAAATCATTTGTACTGCTCGTGCCTCAGCCTAAGTCACAAAATTACAACTGCACTACAAGCAGTTGATGGAAAGACTTTTTCTTGTGGTCAGTGTCCATTTGATTAGGTGTTGGTGGTCTAGTCCCAGATGATCAGCTCTAATTATTAACCTGAAAAATCAAAAGGATGAGGAGGATGCTCCAGCTTCATTTACCTGCAGGAGCTCACTCTGACTTCATGGAATGGTTTGGGCTGGAAGGGACCTTAAAGATCACCTGATTCCAATGCCCTGCATGGATTTTGGGGAAGCTGCCTGCTCTGTTTATGCCACAAAAAAATTGTCAAACCCACCAGTTTTTCCATCAGCAGCAACTGGGAATTTGCAGTTTGCTAAGGACAGACAAGACTGACAGCTCCTGAATCAGCAAGACCAAAACTCAGTGCTCATCCTCCTGGGACAAGTGAAGCCCCCACCTCCCAACACCTTAATCTTCACACTAATTACCTAAATCTGTAAGGTTTACTATGGACTAGAGTGGCTGGAATGTCTGCTGCATCATTTGGCAGGGCAGAGGGTGGAGAAGGAGGCATGTTCCCCATATTAAATACTGTTACACTACATTAGAAAAAAATAAAGTGCAAATCTGTACAAAACTAGAAAGCAATAAGGACTGACATTTCCACCATCAGAAGGCCTTTTCAATTCTAAAGGAATATTTGTGGAGAACAAGCTCCAGCCTGTTTTTGGAGCCCTGGTGTTAAGACAGACTCTATTCATGGGGAGAACAGCTAATGGGAAGCTGGATGAAAAGAAATGCACCAGTAACATCAGACAACCACACCGGTTTTCTAGAGGCACAGTTTATAGTGGGAGCCAGCTGACATGGCCCAGACCCCTTGGAAAAGCTTGGCTTCCAGATCCCTGAACACAGGAGCTGCTGTGCTCACTCCAACCCCACCTCACCCTGCCCTGGGCATCCAGCAATGCCTCAAGTGATGGTGAAAATTTATGGGATTATAAACCAGCACATGGCACCAAGCTTTCAGATCCCCAGCTGTGGAAGAAAAGTTTCAATCCATTCCCTTTAATCCAATTATGGTTTGGTCATATTTAGACCAGCCTACTGCACAGAATAAGTCCACCCTATATACAGGAATAAAGTCCCCAAACACTAAAATACTTGCCTTTGACCTTGCTGAATCCCTTTATTTTTACTTTCTCCTCACTGCAAAACCACTGCAAGCTACCACAAGCTGCCTGTGAGCTGGTCCAAACCAGATTTAATAAACAGATAAGGCATCCTCCAGGCTGAGAGGTAATTCCCAAAGTCTGCTCCAAGTCACAAGTCAGGCTTTTCCTTTTGTGTGGTTTAGTCCTCAAACCCTCCCAGAGCTGATGGGTGTTACAAACCAGAGGGAGGAGGCTCTGTACCTCTGCCTGGATACTCGTGACTGATCCTGCGATTCCATTCTCGGTGCTGATGTTGTTGGAGCTGTTGTTCGGAGAGCTGGGACCAGATCCAGGAGCACTGTTGCATGCAGAGTCTGAAAAACACATCCAAAACCAACTTGTAACATTAGAAACCATCTCTGTGATGGTATTTAGACAGATAACAACCCCTCAAGTTTTGTTTTGGATGAAAGCTGCCCTCTTCCTCCTCCTCCTCCCCCCCTTCTTCCCCCTGTATCTTCCCAGGGTTCTTAAAATACCAACAAACACTTTCAGATGGTTTATCCAAGTACCTACTCAGCATATTTAAGTCTTCTCCCCATGGGGATTTCTCTTAGAGTGTATTAATAACTTGAAATATGATTGAAAGATAATAAAAGGCATGGAAGGCTTGAAGAGGTCAGACTGGAGGATGTCGGAGTTGTTCTGCTTCATTCTTCTGGAAGTGCCTTTCTCCCCCTCTTTCCCTCTAACCCTAAAGGCACCTCCTTGCATCAGACCTCCCTCAGAAAATCTCTCACCTGCTCTATGGCACAGCTGCCAGTGTTCCTCCTTTTATTTGGGAGGGTTAATAACATTCAAACCTTTTCTTTTGAACTTTCCTCATCCCAAACCATTTTGCAGCAGGAGAATATCCCAGCAGCTGCAGTGGCTGAGGCTGCAGCAGGCCCCTCATTGCTCCAGGAGGAATAAAAGCTAATTTTTACAAGGGCCTAGAGGGACAGGACAGGGGGAATGGCTTCTAAGGGCAGGCTTAGAGGGAATTGTAGGAAGAAATTCTTCTCTCTGAGTGCGATAAAGCCCTGGCACAGGATAGAGAAACTGTCCAGGGAAACTGTGGCTGCCCCATCCCTGGAAGTGCTCAAAACCAGGGTGGAGCAACCTGATCAAGTGGAAGATGTCCCACCAGAACCCCCTGTGCTCTTCAGGGATTAAACATAATTTCTATTCCACAAAGTGGGACTGTTTTTAAAACTTATTTTCCATTTAAAAGACCCCTCTTACCATGACAACTCAGACACTTTTCCAACAGGCTCCAGGCTGGCTTCCTGAACATGTCCATGCCAGTGAGAAATGGGAGCTTCCACTGCCATTTCTGAAGTCATTGCAGGGAAAAATGGTCAGCCAGCAGAGGCTGATTTATCCCAGGAGCCATGTGCCATACAGCATTGTGTAAGCGAAGGAAATTGGATTTTCAGATCTGAAAGGCTGCCAGAACTCATGGAAAACACTCTCAGGCACAGGCTGGGATTTTTGGGGTGTCCTGTGCAGGCCTAAGGTTGGACTGGATTATCCTGGTGGGTGGCTTCCAACTTGGGGTATTTTATGATTCCACAACTTTTAGCTCTTGAAATCCTCCTTCCCCTCTGCAAACAGAGAGGTTCTGATACAGAGAAGAGCTGAGGCATCCCAGGGTCTCCCAATCCCACCCGCTGTCTAAAGGGAGCTCACTTTGAGTTTGATGGAGTGATGATTATGTGCCCCAGAGCCAGACAAGCCTGGCAAAGCTGTCACTGGGTGGTACTTACACAGAGACATCCCTAGATGGTGCTAAGAATTAACTTTATGGTAATCTCATCATGTTCTCTCTGATCCCACTTGCAAACTTTGGTCCTGGAAGAACAGGACTTTTCAACAAGAAATTGTCAGTTGAGTAGTCAAAAAAAAAGTTTAATACAGCTGTATGTATGAAACTCCTCGGTCAAGAACCTTTTCCTATTTTCCATCCTAACTGACAGAGCTCCAGGTGTGTCCCTAGTCAAAGGGAGCAGAGATGGGAGCTGCGGATGGGGACGAGGCCTGACCTCAGCCTTCCCAGGCTGGACAATTCCAGTGTCCTCAGCTTGGTTCCAGCACTGCTGAAGCACACAAAGGAGACAGGAAGGCATTTTGGAAAAGAAGGGGGTGAAGGATTGAGGAATTGTCACTTACCCGCCGTACCTGTGACGTCCAGCGGGCGCTTCTTGAGCGCCGTCACCACGGGCCCGTCCTTCCTGCGCAGGAGGGGACTGCTCCTCCTCTCAGCCACCTTCTGCTTTAGTCTGGAGCGCAGCTTCAGGTTGGGCTCAGAGGCTGGCCAGCAAAGGAAACAGTGTTAGGAGCATCTCAGTGCTCAGTGTTTTACTGAGCCTGCAGCTGAGCTGAGCTGAGTTGTATTTAACTGAGTTGAGCTGAGCTGAGTTGTGTTGAGTTGAGCTGAACTGAGTTGAGTTGGCTGCAGTCAAGCATTTGCAGGAAGCTAAATTAAATTAAGTAATTTGCTAACAAATATTTGGAACACAGATTTTTAATATAACAAACAGGTCCCAGCTCATGCAATGTCTGAATTCAACAACAGCAATTACAGGCATCTGACTTAAAAATATAATAATCATCCTGCAAAGTCTTCTCCGAACGAAGACACAGACTCAGGATTAGTGCAGTTTCCCACCTGTGCCTAACCCAGCAGCAAACCCAGCTGCTGGGATCCAGCAGGGGAATGGCTGAGCCAGCTGAGATGCTGCTGTTGGTTATCTTATGTGCTGCTGGAACAGGCAGCTCCACACCCTTGGAGTCATCCAACCCCAGGGTGAGCTGGCTGAGGGAGGGACACCACGGCAGGGGAAAAGAAAACACCAAAATCAAACCCCACAAGCAAATCAGGTGATTGTCTCCCTGCTGGATCCTTGTGTCAGCTGGAGCCAGTGTCAACTCAAGGGAAAGGGCAAGAGAGCGTGGCCAAGGAAAGCCACTGCCAGGGAGGAGGAGGTTTGTTTGTTTGCTTGGGAAGCAACTTGGGGTTACATCATCACAGCCCCACAGTTCAACCCTACCTAACAGCATATAACACACCTGGGAAGTTCCAGACTGCCCAGGGCAGGTGTGGATGCACTTCCGGTGACCACAGCCTTGTGTGCACCACGCTTTTGAGAGACTCCCTCCAAAACACAAATCCTGAGATCCCAAAAAGCCAAGGCAAAGCTCCTGGGAAGCCCCAGTGGCCCTGGGGCCAGGACAGCCAGTGACAGCACATGCATTACTGAATCTCCATCAGGGTCACAAAGCTTTAATTCAACATTCCTCCTGCAAAATTATTTCCTCTGGGAGCTTTCTGATCTCCTGAGCCCTGAGTGAAACACCTGCTGTAGGGTTTGAGGGCTCCTGACAGAGCTGAGAGAACCAGCCCCATCCTTTCCCTTCCTCAACAGCCCCACTGCTTAATCCCTTTGAACCAGCAAATCCTGTGCTCGCTCCATTACCAACCAACACACTCCAGGGCAAATGATCTACATTTCTTTGGGAGAATTAAAACAGCGTTTACAAACTGATCTGAATTAACTCAGTCTGGCTGCAGCTATGTTTCCCTTGACCACCAGGTCACATCAAAGATCGAGCCTGTCCACATTAATTGCAGGGCTCGAAAAATCAGAAGGCTGATGAATTCAAGATCAAATGTTTGAAGTTAAGTCATCAACACAGCCCTTTGATGGAATTTTGGGGGGAAAGAAAAATTAAAAAAAGAAAGGAAAGAGATTTTTCCTGAATGTTTTGGACAGGAAAATGCCAGCAAGAGATAAAGGGAGCAGTAAAAAAAAAGTGCTTCCTCAAGATGATGCTTCAAATGCTGAATGAAGTGCATTAGCAAGGGGGGAATTATCTTCCAGAGAGAGAATTTGCATTTAAAATAGCCAGGGACTGAATGCAAATCTTCTCCCAGGGCAATATTAAAGACTGGACCAGTTCTAACACAAGCTCAGGCTCTAAGCAGCAACTTCTCTGAGTTCTCTTCGAAACAGAAGTTGGCATGAGTTTAAAAGCAGTGTTTGGGTTAACATCCCATCCCACATCCTTACATTCCCAGCTTTAATTTGTCCCAATTTCTGAGCATTAATAGCTGCCTGGATGCCACACTCATGGCTGGAATGAGATGATCTCTAAGGTCCCCTCCAACAAAACCACTCTGGGATTCTGTGGAAGGGGAAGGTGCCACAGCTGGATGCTGATATGCCCATTTTAAATCAAGGAAATCTAAGCCTATGCCACACCTGATGGAAGGATCTGTCCTTTGACAAAGGAGAACATGGAAATAAAAACTGTATTTCAGCCCAAATTTAATTCTTGGTGTTCAGATGAGGGATGGTTTCTGTTGGGAACACACAATTAATTAAGTGGCTTTTAAATACACAGAAGGAATCAGTTTGAAACACCTTAAAAATGGGTAGGGAAACAAAAGATTTGGGGTCACAGATTATCTAACACACCCTGTATTTTAAGCCACAATAAAAATCTCCTCCCATACAACGAAGAGGTGAACAAGCATAGAAAATGACAGCTTTAAAAGAGAAAATACCTCCAGCGTAAGTGATTGCCAAAGCAACGTATTGGAATTTGTCAGATTAAACTATTTTAAGACAAAATCACTCTGTGTTTTCCCCTTCTGCTAGAGGATCGAGTTTCGAAACACCAAAAGGTCTATTTAAAGCCCTGCTCTGATTTTATTGTTTATCCCTCAGATAAAATCCCAAATCTAACATGGCATCAGGACCTCAGAGAGCATAATCCCTACACGGCTTTAATTGGGTGCTCCAGAGCCCAAAGTAGGTGAATTAAAATTCAGCACAGGCAGCACAGCACAGCCTCAAACTCACAGAATTTACATAAAACCTCTTTTATAGTAAAATAATTTGGGCTTGTTCACATGGTTTCTTAAACTATTATATAATAAAAATATTTTAAAGCTGAAGAGAGCTGTCTTTCACAAGTGTAAAACAGGAATTTAAACAATGCAGAAGCATCAATACCTGACAGTCAATGCAGGTTCAATGCTGCCTCAGGAACACAAATTCCACTGGAAATCTCCCCAAATTCACCCTGCCAGGCAATATGCCCAAACAAAGCCTTCCTAACTTGAGTGAATTTAAAAACTGGAGACTAAACTACCAAACCTAAGTTAAAAAATTACTGCTCCTCTACATCTCCAGGTGAAGTATTAAAACAAATGCCATAAAATTAGAAAAATTCCCCTCCAGCAAACAAATGAAGCCCGTGTCCAAATCTGAGTCAGCTCCCACAAAGCCAGTGGGATTTCTTAAGCACTGACATACTTAATTTGGCCTATAATAAGGATTTATACAAAGAATATTTTGTTTTCCTCCAAGTAAATTAATAACCAGAACATAAGCCAAAAGCTTCCCTGGTTTTCACAGGCTCCAAACCAAGTTACCCCTCTTATACATCACTGTGTGCAGCAGGACCCATGTAATCCAATTCTTCCAACATTTATGTCATTTCCATTGTTTTTTTCCTAGAATTGCAGCCCCTAAGCTGCTGAACTAATTGGACATTAAGTCTGTGGAAGTCAAAACCCCACCAAGTCCCGGGCAGAGTTTGTGTTGTCCCCACTGCCCATCTACATTTGTGGAATAAAAGCAAACGATGCAGCCTGAAACCTCTGCTCCCAGTCCTTGAACATGTTTATTTCAGCAGGTGGGGACTGGAAAGGGATGCATTTAATTTATTTAATTTATTGTTGTTGTTATTATTATTATTATTATTATTATTATTATTATTATTATTTGTAAGTTCTAGCCAAAGCTTTACTAGTCAGGCAAAAGCCAACAGAATGATCTTGTCTCCCTTCTAACATCCATAAGAAAACTCCATGAAGGGAGGGAGCTTAAGCTGAAGGACGCCAGGGGTAGATGGGATATTGGGAATGAATTCTTCCCTGGGATGATGGGGAGGGGCTGGCACAGGGTGCCCAGAGCAGCTGTGGCTGCCCCTGGATCCCTGGGAGTGTCCAAGCCAGGGTGGACACTGGGGCTTGGAGCCACCTGGGACAGTGGAAGGTGTCCCTGCCATGGCAAGGTGGAATGGCATGGGCTTTGAGTTTCCTTTCAACCCAATCCTGGGATTCCATGAACAGTGCAGGCCCCTGGCAGCCCCTGGGAAGCAGAGATGGAGCTGCAAGGGCCAAGGAGGAGGAGGGTGGGTTTCCTGAGTGACTGGGATCCCACAAAGGTGACACTAAACCACGAGATTTTGTTTGGTCTCCTACTGGAAGAGTTTCCTCTTCTGGTGCACCACTCGCAAGAAGTGTATTTACAATTCTACAATCATTAAGGCTGGACAAGACTTCTGAGATGACCAAGTCCAGCCATCAATTCATCATCACCACAAACCCTGTCCCGCAGTGCCACATTCCATTTTCTGAACACTTCCAGGAATGGTGATTCCACCACTGCCCCGGGCAGCCTGTTCCAGTGCCTGACCACCTTCCCAGGGAAGAAATCTTCCCCAATATCCAAGCTAAGTGTTATTTTTGGATCAGACAGACTGACATCTTCCACTTGGAGCAGCACAGGGTATTTCCAACAGAGATTTCTCTGGGGGTCAGGGCCTCCTCTCAGTGTGTGGGTCTGTGGGAAGCCAGGCTTCCATGCTGGCTGGAAGGACAACGTGGGTGGGAAGGCAGAGATGCTCTCGAACTGGAGTGACACTCCATGCCACACAGAGCTCCAAGATTTCCTCTGGATTATACTCCCACATTACACCAGGGTTTCTGAGTAGCCTATTTTCTTCCAAACAACCTTTTGTCCTAAAACAAACTACTCCAAACACTCCAATAATCAGAACCAGTTCAGAGGGACATTACGCTTTCCTTGACAAATGCAGCATTATAATTGTTGACAAACCCTTTCATTTTCCCTTTTATTACTTTCTAAATGCAACAAGTTCACACCAATTTCACCTGCTTAGCTGCAAATTATTGGACAGCAAATAATACCCAAACAACTCCAGTTTCCTGCAATACCAACAACATCACAGGATGCTGGATGCTTTCCTCTCTCAGGCTCCTTTCTTCCGCATGGAAAAAGAACCATGGAGTCACATAATCATTTAGGTTGGAAAAGCCCCCTAAGATCATCAAGTCCAAGAGGAAAAGCATGCTAAGAAGTGAAATAATTCCCTTTAAATCTTCATGATGGTAGTGGTGTCAGCTTTCTAAGTAACAGCACGTTCTAATACATCCACTGCTCAAATTTCAGAAAGCAGGAATGCCATCAACAATCTCGTTCCTGGGGAGAAAATGAGGACACGATTCCTTGGAAATGCAAAACTGAAAAGCTCTGCTAAAACCCACTTCAGCAGCTCCACAAAAGGTGTTGACAAACAGCTCTTGGGATTACCAAAACAGGCTGTCCCAACCCAGAGTCTAAAATCACTCCATAAGGACTCTCCAGAGACTTTCCTTAGAGGATCCCAGTGCAGCACATAACAAATGTTATTATGTTTGGGAGACACCAATCTTGATCTGGGAGCAGAAGAGGTCACTTAGAATTTCCCCTCTCAAAAGCTGTCAACAAAACTCTGACATTAAATCCCACACAGAGCAAAGTAAACTCCCCAGAAGGGGAAATAAAAATCCTTGTGCTAATCCAGGTATTTAACAGCAAAGGCAGGAGCAGCACCAACCAAAATGACCTTAGATCAGTGAAAAAAGGGAGAGCCCCAAAGTGCTTGGAGAGAGGGAGCAGAGTGAAATCAATCCCCCAGCCAAGCTAAGTACAGGATTCAAGCAATTAGTAACTGCACCAGGAAAACAATTTCACGCTGAAACCAAACAGCCAAGAAACTGGAGGATAATTTAGGAAAACAAATCAGAGAGAGCTGGATTTCAGGGCATGGGAGGCATCAGGAGCACACTGCAGGAGCTGACTGTTCCCCCTGCTGAAGGCTTTCAAGCACTCTGAAGATATCTTTCCTGCACATCCTCCCTCTCCCATAACCTGTGACCATCAGGATGCTTGAAATAAGAATAGAGACACAGAGTATTGCTAAATGCAGGGAAATGGCAAATTTGATGGAATAATGCAATTGTTTGGGTTGGAGGGACCTTAAAACTCGCCTTGTTCCAACCCCCATCCATGGGCAGGGACACCTTCCTCTATCCCAGGGTCTCCGAGCCCTGTTCAACATGGCCTGGAACACTTCCAGGGATGAGGAATATTTATTCTTCCCAAAAATGTCTCAACCTGCAGGACATGCTCCCAGCTCTGCAGGCTGGGAGAAATGATAATTCCAACTGCCTTCCCACCACCCCCTAAGCCGCCCTCTCCCCAGCAACGGTGCTGGTTGGATTCCAGCCCTGGTAATCAGAGCTGTATTGTGATGGGTTCTGCTATTTGAGCTGCAAATATTTAATCAAATTTAATAAAATTGGACTACACGATATGGCGGTTTTAAATTACCAACACAAAGCCAGAGCGTTGCCTGGTGCCAAAAATCTGAAAAGCTCACCCGTAATAAAGAACTTTATTTAGGATGGGCTCCAGCCTTCCCTGCCTTTTGTTTACACCAGACTGTTCAGGAGCCTTTCTTCTCCAAGCAACTTAACATTCTTGGCACTGGGAATTCTGCAGGATATTGCTGTGCCAGAGCCTGACGTGCTGTTGCGTTAAAAGGAAAATAAAAGAAAACAATGGAAAAAAAGAAAAAAATTCTCCCCTGAACCTTACAAAAGTGAACTTGTTTGTATCCCAGAGCAGTGCTCAGGAGATTGATGCTGGTGCCCAAAAAAAACAAGAGCCAGCATGCTGGCAAACCAAAATCAGCTGAACGTCCTCCTGCTGGAAAACAACAATGGGTTTGGTAGCTTCCACTCTTTAATAATGTGATTAGCTCCATTTATCATCCTTAATTCCCCCTGTCTGACAGCAGGAGTTCACTCAGCAGGAGCTTTGGTGAGATCCCAGTTTGGGAAGCAGCACAGGGTGAGATGTGCAGTTGTCTTCCTCCTCCTGCAGGAGGCATTCCCTTCCAGGACACTGGGAACAAGAAGGGCGACTGCTGCTCAAAGCCAGTCTGACAAGGTGCCCTGAGGTGACGAGCCAGGCAGGTTTGGGAGCATGTCAAAGCCCATTTTTATTGTGGTAACGCTAACAGGGTAGGAACGGATCACCTGGCATCACAAGGCATAGGAAAAAGCTAAAAATCTCTTGGAATCAGGCTGCCCACAGGCCCTAAGTGATAGGTTTGGTGCCAAGGGATGCTTCACTGCATGGAAATGCTGTGAATCCCCAGGGAAGCCTGGAAGCTCTTCCATTTCCCAGGAGTAGAGAGGAGAGGATGCCCTGTCCTTCAGCAAATCCAGTTTTCTAAGCTCAGCTTTTGGAGTCCTCCAGAAAGGGCAGAGTCAAAAGTACCACCCCCAAAGCCACAGGGGCGCCTTTCCCAGGGAAAGCCCATATCTTGGAGCCAATTTTTGACTGGGTTCCTGTGCAGCTGAAGTGCTTGTTAGTCATCAAGCAGCCAACCCAAGGGGGAACAGAGACAACTGCACAGATGGGACTCCATCCAGCAGGGCAGGTGCTATGGTTCCTAGTGAGACATTTCCAAAAGGGGAAAATTTCATCACTGAAAGGCTGGTCAGGCATTGGAACAGGCTGTCCAGGGCAATGGTCAGTCACCATCACTGGAAGTGTTTAAAAAACCTGTGGATGTGGCACTTGGGGCTATGGATTAGAGGTGGCCTTGGCACTGCTGGTTGAAGGTTGGATGATCTTTGAGGGCTTTTCCAACCTTAATGATTGTGCGATCTTTCCAGAGAAGCTTTTTTTGCTGTCCTGAAGTGATTCCCAGCACGGCCAGTAAGCAGAACAGCTCCCTGAGTGAGGCTAAGCTCTCATAGCAGAGCTGTTCCCCAAAGGCAGCAGCCCCGAGCTGGGCGGGTTGGGAGCCCAGGCTGTGCTGGCTCAGGCATGCACTACGGAGCTGAGGCCACAGCCAAGCCAAACAACCTGGTTTACATAATACAGGCTTGAGGAATAACTGACCTGCTCAGCCACCGTGCAGGGAGAAGCCAGACTGAAAGAGAACTGTCTAGGTGTGAACCAAACCCTCGCAGGAAACCCTGGTGCTCGCCCTGGCACAAACCTCCTTATTTACCTCAGGTACAAACTTGTACATAAAATGCAAATCCCTCAAGAAATGAACTTTTTCTCGGTACTTTTCTCACTCAGCAAACATACTTGGGCTGGAGACACGCAGATCTCTGTGAGAGCTTTGGGTTTGGGGAAACATCTCCCAAACTCTGACATGCGGCTCCGCTGTCTCCCACACTCCTCACACATCCCGGAGCAGCCCCAGGCTCCCTGGAACACTGGGAGCACAGAGACAGGTGAAGGGGGAGCAGATGGAGAGGGGGCTTGGGAAACAAGCCTGGAATCCAGCTTTTTGGCAGCATCCCTTCTTTTTCAGGAAAAATCAGACCAGAGGGCTGACCGTGGCGGCAGGGATGGGCAGCACGGAGGGAGAAGGGCAGCCCTACCTGTTTTTCTGAGTGGGAAGTCGTCTTTGGAATCATACATGCCCAGGACTGGGTGGTTGTAGGTGCCGGAGACGCCGCTTTGGGGTGGGGAGCTCTGGTCCAGAGAGCTGTGCTGGGTCTTCCTGCACAGAAGGAAAGAGAAGAAGGGACAAGCTTTACACTGGTGACACGCAGAGGGGACGAGCGCAGCACATGTCACCTCAGGGAGTAGGGAACGGGGCAAAGGCTTTCTCCTCCTGGACACTCCTACAAAAAAATCCACTAAAATCCAATACACAGGAAGGTAATTAACTTAGCTTTCAGCATAAGACTCCACCTTGGCTCAGCTCATGCAGGTATTTAACCATAACTTTAAATTCTAAGACAGTAACCTGGGCTGGGTTTTGCTAAATCTTGTTCCTGAATCTCAGCACAGGTGACATCTCAACTTCAGCACAAGTTGAACCATTTCCCTCCCCAAAATAAACCCCAGGCTCAGCAGACAGAGTCCAAGGCTGAAGCACTGCACCTGGCCAGCAGCAGCCATGGCACACAGGTGGCCCCCTGCCCTTCCTCCTGCCTGTCCTCTCATCCCAGGAGCTCAGCAGAGATGGGGCCAAAGCACTCAGCACCTTTCCAGCTGAACTTCACCAAGATGATAATTTATGGCTTTGTTTGAGCAGGCTGCTGGAAGTAAATTACAGTCTGTTTGCTGAGGATATTAAATAATGAATGAGTTTTCTCAGCCTCCTACCAGTTTGTTGGCTGCATCTTTCCTGCTTAATGACTTGTGCCCAGCTTTGCTGTTTCTCAGGAGCTTCACCAGCCTGGGAGAAGGCTCCAGCCAGCAGAGCAGCTCCACAGCAGAACGACTGATTTAGCCATGCAGGTGACACTCACTGGGCTCTCACAACTTCACTTTAAATAAATAAAATAAATAGAATTTAAACCCCATATTTCTTCTAAATACTAATGGATTTGGGACAATGGAAAGCAAGCATTGGAAAAAAAAAAAAAAAAACTTTTTGAAATTTTGTACTGCCTAAAAACCAAGCTGAAAATATTCTCCTACAAAGGTTCTTCAAGGAACCAAAAGGAGCCATTCCCAGCTGAAAATTGCACAAATTCACGCGGTTTCTCAAGCAGTACTAATCTCTTGAGTGAAAGCTCAACTTAGAAGTTGGCTGCTGAGATCCAGAGCATCAATTCCACTGCAAGATAAAGCCTTCAAAAAATAAGGGGCTAATGAAATACTAGGAAAATACATTGACTTTTCTGTATAATTACAAAGAAAAGTAGCCTTCTGCAAACTTTATTTGAACATCAACATTTTCTACTCCCACAGACCTTCTAGTGGGATGTGTCCAGGCCCTTGGCAGGGGGTGGAATGGGATGGGTTTTAGGTCCCTTCAGCCCAAACCATTCTGGGATTCTGTGGAAGTATGAATGACTGTGGTTTCCCAATCCTCCCTCTTCATTATCCAGATTTCTCTGTACATAAAGAAAAATTATTTCTGGGGCTCTTGCAGGGCTGTGCTTCCCACACCTACCCCATGCTGTGCCACATCCCCACCCCTGAATGCCCCCACGCACACTTCAATCTTCACCTGCAATCAAAACAGAGACAAACTAAAAAAAAAAAAAAAAATCCCTCCTGGGAAGAGACGTGGCTTTTTCTTCCAGGATCTGCTCATTCCATGGCAAGGCAGCACTCCCAGGAATGATGTTTCACTCCCAGGAATCCTGGGTGCTGTAATCTGAGAGCCCTGAGCCCCATCGAGTCACACAATGACATTTTTGGCTCTATATGAGGAACAGACCTTTTTTTTTTCATCCTTTTTATTACTTTTTTTTTTTTAAATCATGACCTATGCAGCACAATCGAATACATTGAAGCTATTTTCAACCCTTTGTCAGGCAATGTGCAGGAATTCAAAGGGCCTGTTTAGATGTGCTCCAGGGCTGCTGAATGACAGATATTGAGCTCTGCAAACAGGAATACATTCCCTGGCTCCAGGACTGGGGTCTGACGCTGCTTCCAGCAGCATGCCCTGGTCTGCATGCCCCTTCAGGAATGTCAGAGCTCTGGGAGGAGAGGAAACTGGACACTGCACGGAGCTTGCAGACATTCCTGAAAGCACATCCCTTCATTCAAGGCATCCCCTGTTCCCTGAGCTCCTTCAAACACCCATGTGCACAGACAGAAAGGCTGGAGTGATGATCTTGGGAGTCTTTTCCAACCTTAACGATTTCATTATTTGGTATTTCATCCTTCAATCATGTTCAGCAAGGTGCACTGAATATACATTCATACATGTGTACCTGTGCTGCAATGTTTTGTGTTCACACCCATGGATGTTGGGATCATTCAATGTATAATTTAATGTGCAATTTAAAGTATAATTGTACCTCTCTACCTCCTCACCATGCAAATACTCAGTTAAACTCCCTTCCATAGCTGCTAGCACATGGAGTGGCTGCTTCCCCAGCACTGCTGACAGTTTCCCAGGGACATCACAGAGAGCAGAAATTCCTGGGAGCCAGGCTGCCCAGTGGGTTTAAAATCCAGGGGAGGGACAGTCTGACAATGCAGTTCCAAAGAACCTCCTCTACTGTTGCCTATCACAAAATCCCAGAGTGGTTTGGGCTTGAAGGGACGTTAAACACCACCTTGTTCACCCCTTTCCACCATCCCAAGCCCTGTCCAACCTGGCTTCGAGCATTTCCAGGGCTGGGATATCATCCTAGAGGTCTTTTCCAGCTCTAATACCTCTGTGATTCTGTGCCAGCAGAACATTTTTCCTGTCACAGCCACTGACGTCAGACCATCACGGTGCTCAATATTCTTAGGAGACTTTTTTTTTCCTTAAGCAATGCTTTCAATTAAAAAAAAAACAAAACACAAACCAAAAAAAAAAGACCAAAAAGGAATTCACAAACCTTAATAAGACCAAGAGAAGTGCTTAAAACCAGGCGTGTTGCTTCAAGAGGCTCTCCCAGCATCTGCTAGCACTTAATGGCCTGGCCTGCTCACAGTGGGAGCGTGGAGTGGATCTCCTGCAAGCCCCGCTCGCATGTGCTCAACCCAGCCACCACCCAAGTGCATCACAGCACAGCTATGTGGGGACAGGAATGCCTCCAGAGCTCAGCTGGTAACCTATGAGATGCCATATAAATAAATACTAATATGTCAGGAATTTAAAGGTTGATTCTCCTTTTGAAAAAAAAATAAATTAATAGAATGGAAAGAAAAAAAAACCTCAACTTCTGCCTGAAAAAGTGAAGGGTGCATTTAAAAAATCCTGTGTTGCTGCCATCTGCCCTCCTTGAGGGCTCAGCAGGACAATTCAGCACTGAGAAAGAGCTGTGAAGCCCCAAGGCTTTGTCCATCTTGGGTTAGAATACAGAATAACAATCCTCACCCCACCACAGAACAGATGGAAAATGAGGGGATGGTATGACCTGAAATCTTTGTGCGATGGTTTGTGTTCTCTCTGCCTGTTGGCATCCCTGGAGCATCACAGGGAAGGGGTGTTAGGATGCCTAAGTGCCACAACAAACCCAAACCACACTTTGGTGCTCAGAAAGTTCTCAGCATCAGCTGAGGCAACATTCTGAAACCCCAAACAAGACGTGACTAAAAACCTGCAGCAGCCCTGGCCTTGCATCACAGAGAATCCCAGGACGGTTTGGATGGGAAGGGATTTAAAGCTCATCTCATTCCTCCTCCTGTCGTAGCAGGGACACCTTCTACTATCCCAGGCTATTCCAAGCCCCAACCAGCCTAGCCTGGACCAGTTGCAAGCAGCCAGAGGCAGCCACAGCTTCTCTGGGCACCCTGAATTCTAGCTGACCTTGCACCACTCCTGCATTAACTGTTATTTTAACCATCCCTTAAAGAAATGGAGGCTCAGAGTCTTCAACCACCTTTAATGAAATCCCCAAGTCTCAGATTAGATTTTCAGAGTTGTATGAAAGCTGCTCAATCTCACTTTGCCTCCAATAACATCTGAATTCTTCTGCCAACTCCACATCAGCATTTCTGTACTGGCTCAGAGCTGGGATAGCTTTCAAATTTCATTGCAGCTCAGTTTCTGGAATTTGGAAACATCTTTTGGCTATGACCTCATCCTCTCTTTACACACGTTCATTTCTTAAGACTTAAAACACTGTCAGTACTTCAGCCTGAACATTAATTTCATGGCAAAATGAAATTACTTTTGTAACTCAAAATTTCATGAATTTTGAGGTCACTAAAGCCAATATCCAAAGCACTTTGGCTATTTATTTAATAAAGACAGTGACAAAATCATAGCAGTGGAAACTTCCAAGTCACATCAAATTTCTAACTGTCTTTAGTACAATGAAAAAGTTGATTTCTGAAATTGAAACTGGAGACCTGCAGTTGAATATTTTCAGTTGAAAACGGAGATGTTGGGGCAGTTGTGATTAGAAGTGCAGACTGGACCCATTGGATGTTTCCAGTAAGAGCCAAGTAAACAAAACTTCCAAGTCTGAGATATTAAGAATACCAGTAAGTGTTAAAAGTTTTAAAATGCAAAGTTTAAGTATCCTGAGCTGCAGGAATTCACTGAATCATAGAATACCCTGAGCTGGAAGAGACCCACAAGGATCACCAAACTCCAGCTCCTGAACATAAAAACTATTCCTCATTTGACTAAAGTTCAAGTTTTATAACAGCAGGTGGGATCAAATCCTGGGTGAGAAGCTGGAAGACTTAAAAAAGCTGATCTCTGACTGTAGAACTTGTGAGTTTGGATAATTGTGGATTACAGACGACACAAAGACCTCTCTCTACACACAGAGCGCCGTGACACCACCACAGCAGCCACCAAAACCACTCACCCTGGAACCCTCTGGAAAGCGCATTTTGGGAATGCACAGGGATCCTGTCACTGCTCTAGCTCACCCCACAGGCACATCAGGTGTATTCCCTCAGGGAACTGGGGATAAAGGTGGCACTGGCTGAGCCCTGCAGAAAGCCCAGCATCACTTACCCGTACCAGAAGCGAGGGTCGCTGGATATGCAGTGGTTGAGATTCCGGTGGGCCAGAGCCTTCTTCTTGTTTAACACGAATTCCTGCAATTTCATCTTCACTTCTGTGCTTGCCACTGCACCTGAGATTAAAAAAACAAAAATCAAAAAAGGTTATTAAATCAATTCACGTACTTGAAGGAATTTTAAATTTCTAAAATTCATCCCAAATAAAATATTTCATTTCCAGTCCAAAAAAAAAAAAGAACTTTGCTTTCAAAGAGAGAAGAACAAAGCACCTGCAGTAAGGAGCTCTCCCTTTTTATCCCTTCAGTTTGGCACAGATTCACAAGTTATGTTTGAAAACACAGATGAAATTGGGTTTATTTCACCAGAAGAGGATATTACACTTGCATAGAAGCACACTCAGAATAAAGCACTTGTCCGGGGTATCCCAGCTCTCTTTGAACCAAAGTTATTTAAGAAAAGGGGTCTTGTGCACCCTCAAGTTGTTAAATGTCACATCTAAAAGCAGAAGGGGAATGAGCCCAGTGGCTCGTGTGTAGGTTTTGTCTTGAAAACTCCTGTAAACAGGGACCTCTTTGTTCCCAAGTCTCTGTGCACACCACAACCGACGCAACATTTCGCTTCATTTACAAGCGCGCAGATCTCTGGCTTCAGATAGAAAACCTAACATTAAAAAGAAAAACATTAAAGAAAGGGAGTCAGTCATTCTGCAGAGCTAAAATGTCAACTGTGTAATCCCTAATCATGATTTCCTGCACAATGGACAGCAGGCTGTTCCCCTGCCATGATGGATCCCAGTGATCATCGGGTTGACAGCCCAGACTCCCAGGCAGGACTCCTGACGGAGCAATGCATCCCAAGTTTGGCAAGGGGACACGTGGAAAATGATGGTTCATCCACACCGTGGCGTAAGGCAGGAGCTCCAATGGAAAATATCTGGGCTGGGAGGAAAGGAAAAGACCAAGGAAGCTGCTGGCTCCAGTGGGAACAAGAATGAAAAGATCACCCTGCCATGTTCTCGTGTCCTGCGCCCTCCTGCTCGATGACAAGGTGACGTTTGACATGCTGGGAGAACAATTCCTGAGCTGTCTCCAAGAGCAGGGAGCTGCAGCATTCCCACAAGGCTCTGCCTGGAGTTGTAAAATGGTTCAAATACCAAAGCGAGAAAATTCCCTTTTTTTGGAGACCTACATTTCTCACCAGCTCCACAAACACCAGTTTGGTGTAAAGTTCAAGCGAAGAGCTGCAGATAAATTCCTGAGTAGCAGAAGGGGTGACAAATCCATGCTTGAAAGCCTTCTCCCTCCAGGATGTGTCATCCTTAATCCATTAGCATCCTTAGAACACCCAAACCTGGCTGTGTTCTGTCAGGTTGGCATAAACGTGTTGCTTAGAAGACTTGAAGTTCAGTATTTTTGGAGTGTAAGGTTTACCTTACACTTTTACTTACCTTACTTACTTTTACTCAAAGATATCATAGAACCTCAGAGAGCTTTGGGGTGGGAGGAACCCTAATTCATCTAATTTCAACTCTGTGCCATCAGCAGGGACACCTTCCATTGTCCCAGGCTGCTCCAAGGCCCATCCAACCTGGCCTTGGACACTGCCAGGGATCCAGGGGCAGCCACACCTGCTCTGGGCACCCTGTGCCAGCCCCTCCCCATCATCCCAGGGAGCAACTCCTAATTCCCAATATCCCATCCATCCCTTCCCTCTGCCAGTGGAAGCCATTCCCTGTGTCCTGTCCCTCCAGCCCTTGTCCCCAGTCTCTCTCCAGCTCTCCTGGACCTCCTTCAGGCCCTGGAAGGGGCTCTGAGCTCTCCTTGGAGCCTTCTCCTCTCCAGGTGAGCACCCCCAGCTCCCCCAGCCTGGCTCCAGAGGAGAGGTGTTAACAAGGAAGCAGAACAAACTCCACCTCTCTCACACTCTTCATATTTCAGATCAGGACAATTTTAGCTTCTCTTTGCCAAATTTTGTGATGTGAGAAAAAATAACTTAAGTATCCTTAAGCACTGAGGTGCAATAATGATTCTACACCACAGCACTTCTTAAATAAAAAGTAAATTAAAAATAAAATGGTAGCCATGGGAACAGGATCTTCAACTTAACATCCCCAAATTCTGGGTTTTTTCCTCTACACTTCTGTGTTTCATCCAAAAAATGCTTTGCTTCCATTTTCCAGAGATTCAGTCATTTTAATTTCTTTCCAGATTACTTTAATGAGAATGGCCAGGTATTGGTTATGAGGAGACGCCCAGCAACACGTGGATCAAACATCAACAGCTGATGGGAGCAGCAGGGGGAAGAGGAAATGCTTAGGGATTCTGAACCTCTGTTCTTTCTAGCACTTAAAAAGGTCTCCCAGACCCCAGTTTTATCTTACTGAAAAACTTCTCGGAGGTTTATCTTATTCCCAGTTCCCAGCCAGCATCCCATCTTCCTTCCACCACTTCTCTCATCTGAAATCAGACCTGAGGAGTTGATGGCACAACTTGGCGAGGTATTTTGAGATATTTTCCCCCCATTCTCTTGCAGAAAAAGCCCGAACAAGCAGCCCAGAGTGTCTCTGATAAGGGACATTGTGAGGCCACAATGATCTCCTCAAGTGCATAATGACACAGAGAGGGGAAGGCACCCACAAGCTGTAACCTCCTGAAAAAAAATCCCCCCATGAATGGAAATGCTTCAAAAAGGGGAGAGCTGTGAACTCGACTATGTCTTAAAAGGAGTGAAATTCAGAGCAGCAGAAAGAGAAAAGGAGTGCAGCGTGCATCTGGTGTATTTTATGGGCTTAATATTCTGCCTCCATTAGGAATGCTGCCAAAAATACTTCAAAAAATGTTAAATCAAGGCAAGAGAGGATACGCTTCCTTTTGAAAAATGCTAAAATGGCATTTAGTGAGACAAAAATGAAGATAAAGCAGAGAAACGCATTTCTCTCTTCCCCTCAATTCCCACAAGCTCCCCGTGCCCTCAAGGAGGTTCCTCCAGCTTTCTGAGGCTCCTTCACAGCTCCCATCTGCCTGTCAACACCTGAAGCAGCGGTGTTCTGGCCACTTACTCTCTTTCCCTTTCTCTTTGTTTTTCAGCTGCTGCAGTTTCTGCTCTCGGTGCTGCTTTTCCAGCTCCTGCTCCTGCCGGTGCTGCTCCAACTTCCTCTGGTGCTCCAAAAGCTCCTGCTGATGCTTCATGGCCAGCATCTCCTGCTGCTGCTGCAGAGAAGGGAACAGGGAAAAGGAGCAAATTAACACCATCAGCCTTCCCAGAGCCAAAGCAGAGGCTGCAGGCAGGTGACAGTAACAGTGTTTCATTCATGGCACCAAGGACAAGCACAGGCCTCCTTTTATCTCCATCACCTGATTTTAATAAAACCCCACTAGGGCAATATTGTTTGTTGCACAGAGAAATTGTAGAAATTGTGGCTGCCCCATCCTTGGAAGTGTTCCAGGCCAGGCTGGATGGGGCTTGGAGCAACCTGGGTTAGTGGAAGGTGTCCCTGCCCATGGCAGAGGGTGCAACGAGATTAATGTTCCATCTAACTCAAACCACACGGAGATTCTGTGATTAATTATAAAAATAATTGCTCCAACAGATTAAAAAAATAATTCCCCCAACAATTTATCCAGGAAGGATTTTCCCTGGCCCTCTCAACTCACCCATATTTATGGGAATAATCAGGAAACATGATGTCTAATTAAGGTAATTATTTGCAAAGCTTCCATCAGATGGGACACTCAAGGCTGGAAGAATACTCCTGCCCCAGTGCAAGTCCTCCCTGGGCTCCCCAAGTTCCAGCAGCTGGGAGGTGTCAGTGTCCCCACCAACCTCCTGGGAAATTTGGGGTGCATCCCCCAGCCCAGAGCTCCCTGTTGGGGTGCACAGGGGATTCTCCCAGCCCAGAGCTCCCTGTTTGGGTGCAGAGGGGAGTCCCCCAGCCCAGAGCTCCCTGTTGGGGTGCACAGGGGATTGCCATGGCACTGAGGGCGGCAGTTTGATGCGCTGTGTCCTGTGAGGCTGCGGAAAAGCAAGTGTACAAACAGCACATCCCAGCAGCCCAGAGAGGAACGAAGGGATCTCTGTGGGGCTAAAAACCGCTTTTTCTTGAAAAAGCAGAGCCGAAAGAATGATTTCCCGCCTTCCAATTTGATCTGCACCGTGCCCAGCAAGGCGCGGGCCGGGCCAAGCGCGCAGGCCGCTCCTGTGCCTCCCGCAAAGGCCTGGAATGCCGGGGCCCTGCGGAGCCTCCGGAGCCCAGTGCAGTCTCCGGAGCCTCTGGAGCACGGCGCCCACCCCGCACTCTTTACGTTGGCAGCCTATAAACCAAGGGATTGATCGGAGCTGGCAGCCTCCAGCCTCCAAGGCCCAGCCTCTCCAGGGCTGCGCTTAATGGGGGCCTGTGCTCGGATGCCACCCACCGCTCCCGCAGAACGCCCGAGGCAGAGAGGGATCGGGAGCACGGAATTGCGGAATGCTTTGGGTTGGAAGGGACCCTAAAGATCGTTCCAAGCCTCTGCTGTGGGCAGGGTCCAAGCCATGGCTGTTAAGACAGGGAATCTGCTCTCTCCAAGAACATCTCAGTCCATCCTTCCCCAAACCCTGCCAGCTCCTGCATACACAAGACTCCCACCCTGAAGTTTTTTCTTCTCCTTGAGCACATTTTCCTTTTCATGCCTTTAGCTGAGATTCTTGGGGTGTCCTGTGCAGGGCCAGGAGATGGACTTGATGATCCCTGCGAGCCTCTTCCAGCTATGGATATTCTAGGCTCCTCTGATTAATTTGTGGCATTGCACATGTCACCGCCCAATGCTTCAGCCACGGATCCACAATAAATACAAATAAAATCACACTATTCTATGTAAAGATGGAAAAGAAACAATCTAAGAGGTATTTACAATCTGCCTGGCTATCTGCTGGAAACTCTCCATGGAGGAATCCCTGCTGCTGCCTGTTCCAAGCAGGCAGGCTGTTGTAAAACACCAGCAATCCAGTTATTTTGCAGTGACTGCACCTATGCCTCCCCTCCTAATTCTATTGAATTATATGCAAGCAACCAAAAATCCACACTGGAAAAAAAAAATTGAAAAGGAGGAAAAAAATAGAGGAAACCAGCTATTTTTGTTTTCTAATTAAGCAGCAGCTTCTACTAACACGTCTCCATTTGGGGAAAGAGTCTCTTTCCTGACTTCCAACAAGTCCACCACATGGTGGGCTTTGAGAACCTTGCCATGGAAAGTATGCAAATGAACAATATTTAATGCACAATATGGTAAAACAGGTTTTGTTATTTTTATGGAATCAGGAGCCTTTTCTCTCCATCTGCAGTCTCCTAGGCTCTGCGGGCTCTGCTTCCTGCGATGGTTTACATACATTAGGCTGCTTTAGAAGGAGCTGTGCTTTCATTGACATCTGGAGTGAAATGGGAATGAAAAGCCCCATTTGTCACTGGATGGTTTAGGGAAGTTTCATTAGGGATGTATTGTCTCTGCTCATTTTGACCCCAGTTTCCACAAAGCCTATTCTTAATATAGTTTTTCAAATGGTTTCAAAGTTGAAAAAAAAAAATTGAAAAAATAAAATAATGAAGCCATGTCTCTGATTGTATCCATGAAGAATGAAAAGAAATCACTGTTGGTGTCTGCTGTAGCCTAGGAAAACAAAAAAAGAAAACCCATCCGGGTGTCTTCTCTGGGTTATTTCTCTACACTTACCAGGAATGTTATAGGAAGACAAACATTTAGGCTGGAGATGAGGAAATGGTTCTACCCCCAGAGGGTGCTGGCACTGCCCAGGCTCCCCAAGGAATGGGCATGGCTGAGAGAGCTGCAGGAGCATTTGGACAATGCTCTCAGGGATGCACAGGGTGGGATTGTTGGGGTGTCAGGAAAATCATTTTTCTGGTTAATTTAAAGCAATAGAGGCAAATTCGAGTAGGCACTGCCCACTCAGACCCTGTGTGCTCACCACACACAGCTGGGCCAGGGGGTTTATTCCCCAACTGCATTTCCCAAACACTGAAATTTCATTACAAAGTGATTCACTGAGGGAAATCCCTGGATCTGAGACTAACTCAGACCCGAGTCTGAGGAGCACTGTGTGACAGACACACACACACGCTGCATTAGGGAGCTCAGAACATCTGAATTAGGTGCTTTTGCCAAAATCAATATTTGTAAATATTCATAACTATGGGGATTCCTGCATATGTTTAATGTCACTGCTCCCACTATTTCTGAAAACTGCACAAATGTTCAACTGTACCTGCAGTTAGTGCTGCTGGTGCTCCTTTAGCATAAATGAATATTAATAAAGGTGACAGGGAGGATGCAGAGCATTTCCAGGTATTTATCAACCGCCAGCCTACCGTGAGGACTCAGCAATCCAGAGAATTTTGCCACCACACTCCTCAATTGTCTTCAGTGCTCCAGCTTGTTTGCCTAGGAGGGGGACTGACACCTTATCAGTAGAGAAACTGTCACAGAGAAACCCCTTTTTAAGGGAAATGCAGCTAAAGTGGTTCTCTTTAGTCTTTGCAGTGCCCTCCCAGGAAGTGTGGAGTGCTGACACCAAGATCCCATTTCCCAGAGAGAACCAGGATGGATTTCATGGAGACACATTGCATTAGAACTTCCACAACCACTCCTCCAGATGCCAAACAAGAAGGCAAAGCAAAGAGATCCTTCCTGCCCCCCCCAGCTCAGACTGGCTCCCGGGTGTTTATAAGAGATATTTTTAATAGCAGCAATTAGTGGAAGGGAGAGCAAAATAATCGCAGAGATAAGCACAAGCCTGGGTGAACAGAAGTTGGAACACTTCTGGCTGATAGATATTCCCTGGCATGCAAAGTTGCTGTGTCCAGCTCCCTATTGCTTCTCAATCCACACCTCAGTTCAGCTCCAGCACAGGGGGGATATCAGGGAAAGGTTCTTCTGCCACCTGTCCTGGCCAAATTCTACTGTTTTGGGGGTTTAAATCAGGCATTCAAAACGATATTTGGGCTCAGGCTCTGTAAAAATAAAGTCAAATCGTAGGTGAGGATGAAGAAGAACTCTCCAAGAAAGTACTCATCAAATCACCCCCTGAAAAACCCTTGGCTATAGGTGGAAGCAAAGCACCGGTGCTGGGATTTCTGGGAGCTGGATTTCTGGGAGCACTGCTCTGCTGGGTTGTTTCGCAGCTCTCCCGATGCTGGCTGGACTCCATGCTTCATGTTCCCCCCATCCTGTTTACTGAAGTCTCGGGCTGTGGCTCCAGTTTCAGGATCTGCTCTCTTGGCTCCGTGGCGGCGTATTTGGGATATCTCCTGAAGCACTGGGCAGAATAAATCAGCTGTGCTGGGAGACAGGGAGCGGGGAACATTGTGACTTCCAGCAGCAGCCAAGACACAAAGATCTGGGAGAACGAGCACCTCTCGTCTCTTTTCGGGGACACGCAGCCCACGTGCCCCCTTCCCGCCATCGGGCAGCTGACAGCCAGCTAATCCCGTGCCAGAAATTCCAATGGGCAGGGAATTTTCTGCAGGGAAATGATCCCTCCCAGCCAGCAGCTCCCTGGGCAGGAGACTGATCTCAGTCAGACACATCCTACTGAGAACGTCTGGTGCTCAGGTTTATGAGGCTAAACCGTCTCCAGGACTGGGAATGACGGTGAGGTTCCCTTCACGCCAGCTCCCGGTGATAAGATGTTTTTACCTTGGCAGCTTTACATATGGATATGGAATTTTGTACCCTAGTCTCCTTCCCATGCCATTACCTCTCCCAAAAGGCTGGAAGCCCTCTGAGCCCTGAATACCTGTAAAGGTTCAGCACTGGGAAAGGTTCAGCACTTTTGCATGAGCCTTTTGCTCCCTGACTCCCGCTCCAGCCTAACTTTTCCCTTCTTCCAGAAGCAGAATATCCATCAGCCTTTCCAGAAAGCAGCAAGCTCCATTTGTAGTATCCAGCACATTCAGCTCCTCCTCCAGTTTTCCCCTTTCAAGCTGAGGAAAACTCCTTTGAGTCTGCCTCTGGTGGGCTTTGCGTGGTTATTGTTGAAGGGGAGGGAATCAGGAGCAGGGAGTGCCCATTCCAGCATGGATGGCAATAAATAAATCCAAAAAATTGACTTAAACCAATCCCTGTAAACCAAAGAACCCTATAAAATCCTGTAAAGGAGGAGCCCTACATGTTTGATGCTAAGTTAGAGATGAGACCTTGGTCCTTGAAGGAGCAGTTAC